AAACTTTTCTGGTAAACAATGTTTTCTTTCAGAAAAGTGCCTAGAAATTCGTTCAGACACCAAGAAAAAGCAGTGATACAAAAAATGACTTAACTAAATTCAATCTCTAAAATATATATATTGTTAACATCATCTCAATATATTTATGGTTTTATTAATTTTCCTTAATTAATTTTCAATTTTCAACAATTAATTTTCCGTTTTTCATTAATTAGGAAATTCATTTCTAATTTCATCAACTAATTTGATTTTTAATTAAAATTTAACTATTTCTAATAAATTTTTAATTAAAATCAACATTTTTAATAAAAGGCAATTTTAATTAAAATTAAAATTTAATTTAGAAAAAAAAATGCTTAGAAACTTTATTGTAGTCTTAATAGAAAAATATCGAAATATATTGAAAAAAATGTTAACAATATAATTATATAATAAATATCAATCTATAATTGCCTGCTATAACGATTTTATGTCCCTACTATTTAAAAAATAAAAAAATGATCTCTGATCTAGGTTCTATAAATAAAATATGTATTTATGTAAATTTCAAACAAAAAAAAAATTTACGAAAATCGCGCGCACTTTTCGTAAAATACACACTCGACTATAAAATATTGTTAATTATTATCTTTTCTTAACTGGATACACTGTATATAAAAAAAAAGGAAACTCGCAATTAATTATCACAATATATATGATATAAATATCTAAATCGTAAGGAATTAAATTTAAAAAAATATATATATATATATCGTGACTGTGTAGATACTACGTATGATATATTTATAAAATATAAATTATAATATACATCGTTACGTATTTTACACGCCTTCTGTCAAACTGTGATCATTCTAGGTATGGCTAATCAGATTAAAAAAAGCGCTTTCCAAAAATTCATTTGTTTCAAATTTTGCATTACTTTTTTTCATAACAACTTCATTACTTTTTTTTTTATTAGTAAAAATTATCAAAAAAAAAATAATAATTTTAAATCTTTCAAATGGGGACGAATTTTTTTTTTTTGTTTTTATAGAAAAATATTTTCAAAAAGTAATTCAAAAAAAATTTAGAATAAACCGAAAAAAAATGAATTAAAAAATATTTTTTATTTGCAAAATTTGAAACAATTTTTTATTCTAGGCTTTAAAAAATGCGCACTGTATAAAAAAGAATCAAAGAGATAGCATTGACAAAGATAATACTTGTAAAAAGGGACCAGTATTATGTAAAAAAAAAAAGAAAAAAAGAAAAAAAAAATCACGATTTCCGACTCGTTTTTCAAACACATTGTCATAAATATACTACTTCTGCACTGCGAAAGGAAATCTACATGAAATATTATGTAAAAATTCTGGCAAATACGTTATTCTGTATTCTATAATTTTTTTTTTAAATTTTTCTCTCAGGGCTACAAAGCAGATATATATATTATAAACAATTAATATATAAAAATGCTTCTGTAACCAGTAAAAATAATAAATAAAATATTTTAGTTAAAATATATATTTGTCCAGAAATAAATTATAATAAAAAGTTGGCGATTGTGAGTCAACTAAAAAAATGTTGTCAAAAAAAAAAAAAAAAAAAAAAAAAAAAAACAATTGTGAAAGTTTAATATTAATAGAAAAAAGTTTTTATATTCTCTTAAATAAAATTGTTTCAACAGAACTGTAAAGAAGTATGCCTAAAATTGTTTAAAAAACCTATTTTTTGCTTGAAATTAGAAAAATCAAAATATATTTAATGAGACTGAAAAATAAAAATCAAGAAGAAGACTTAAAATTTATTTTCATTTCAGATTTATTTATGAATCAACTCTTGAACTTTGTTAAACTTTATTATAAATGTCACCTTTTTAAAAATATTTTTTATTTTATTATTTTTATTTTCTTTTTCCATATTTTTTTCCCTTCATTTATTATTTCCATTTTTTTTCAGCTCGTCAAGCATAATTTTTTTTTAAAAAAATCAATTTAGGCATTCTTCTTTTTCTAACATTAAAAAAAAGAAAAAAATTTTTTTAAACTAAGAGAAATTTTACAGTAAAACTACGAAAATATATTTTAAGTTAAATAAAAAAAAAATGTGTTAACAAAAAAACGTCTTACATTTTTGACTGATTAAACTTTATATATACATTTATATATCAATATATGAAAATAGATTAATTTTCATTTTTTTTCTTTTTTAATGAATTCAGAATTATTTTAATAAAAGTGATGGATAAAAACTGAATGTATAATTCAAAAAAAAAAATTGTAAATATTTTGTCTCATTCGAAAAAAAAGAGAAAAAGGATTTCAGGAAAAATTTATAGATTACCATTTTTGCCTGACAAAACAAAATCTTTAAATTTTTCCTAAAACATCTCTCTATCTCTTTCGAATTGAAAATAAAATTATTCTATATATAAGGCCACATATCTAGATATTAGAAATTAGTCTATAGTGAAAATAGAATTAGAAACAATTAGAAAACCAATAGTTTATTAATTTAGAAATAGTTTATGGATGTTTTAGGAATATTTACAGAAAAAAAAATAGAAATCGCATGAATATATATAGTATCTTTAAAAAATAAGTCTCAACAACATTCCACGAAAACTGATCCTGAAAAAAAAACCTCTCGGGAACTTGCCATCCAAAAAACAAAAATTGTATGAAAAAAAATTTTTTTTTCACAAATTATAAGAAATTTGAAAAAAAAAATTTTTAATGCACAAATTTTCCTTTGCCGCTACTTTCAAAGCGCACATAGTAAAATCAATTAATTTTCTCAGAATATATTACTACTATAATACCATGTTTTCCTATACTACCTAACTATTCTTTTTTTTAATTTAAATTTTTAATTATTTTATTCAACATATTTATTTACCTATAAAAATTTTAATTTTTTTTTATTGCACAAAATCGATTAAAATGGCTTTAAAAAAACTTGACTGAACAAAAAAGTAAGAAATGATTAAATATAGTAAAGATTTTAGTAAACAATATATAATTTTTTTACAAACTAAAATCGTCCATTGTTTCCAAATATTTTAAAGAAATTATATTGTATTCATTGTCGAACAGAATGACACGAAAAATAAAATTTCAAAGGATAAAAAATTTATTTTTTAAGAGAATTTCAGATCTGAGAACAATGTATCACAGAATAAGTAAAGTAAAACAAAAAAAGAGAGAAAAAAATAAATAAAAAATAAAAAAAACAAAATTTTAAATACCCAAAAAATTTTTTAATATTTAATTTATTAACTGTTTTCGTTGTTTAATTAACTTTTTTCAATTTCCTAATTTTTTTCTATAATAATAATTTTACAAAAAAAAGAAAACTTAATTTTTTAAAATTATTGTCTTCCACAAAGCAATTTTAGAAATTCGTAAAAATATTTAATTTTCCCCAAATACATGAAAATGTAAATTTTTCCAAAAAAAAAGCGATAAAAGATTAAAACTTTGAGGACCACGAGCACAATAAATATCTTTGTTTGATTTAAACAACTAATGAACGGAAATAAAAAAAATAAAAAAAAAGAAAACTAGTGTATATTTAATGAAATAATAAAAATAAAAAAACCAAACGTTTTTTGGACGAAAAAAAAATAATAATCAAAGAAATATGAAATTTTGTGTTAATAACGATTTTAAAATCGTATGGCACATAATAATAATAATCATTTTAATATATAGCGAATAAATCGAATATTGATGTTGTACTTCGGTAAATGTCCATATATGCCAATGGCAATCTAAAACGTAAGACTATAAAAAAAAATAAAATAAATATTAGGGTTCATACCAGAAAAAAAAATCTAACAAAATACGCAAACGTATTTATATTTAAAAAAAATAAAACTTAGATGGATCAATGTATAATGTTTCATATAGACGAAATTTTCATCTGTAGTATATAGAAAAAATCGACCAACCAATTGGAGATAAAAAATTAATTATTTCTAAAATTCATTTCAATTTGGAAATTAAAAAATGAAATTAAAAATTATTCTAAATTAAATTTTAAATGTCCCAATAAAAATTTCTTTTTAAAAAAATACAGAAAATTATAAGGTATTAAAATAATAAGCGTTGGAGCTTATTTTAATGCCTTTTAATTTTCTGTGAAAGGAAAAATCCAAAAATTTTCTCCAGTTGGATGGCGTTTTAAGTGAGAAAAAAAAAAAAACTTGTAACCGATGTCTTAAAATTCTAAACTTCTCATTGATACGATAAAAATAAATTTTATTAAGTATCACGTGTCGAAACTATAATATATATATATATACAATATAAATGTTTTTATTTTATACTGAATGTATTTCGCATTGATGTGTGTATTTTTCTTATATATAAAAAAAAACTGACGTTGCGAAGCGTCGCTTGTTTTATTAATTCAAAAAAAGAAAAAAGAAAAAAGAAAAAAAGAAAAAAAAAGAAGTTGATAAAGTGCAGCTTCTCATTTTATGGGTATATTTTATTGTGACAAGTGTCAACATAGATTTTATAATGTTGTAATAAAAGTATTTCTTTTTGTACATATTCATGTTAATTTTTATTCAATTATATTTTCCTTTTATCGAGATTTAATTTCGTTTTTCTAAAAATATTATTTATAGAAATATTAAAATATAAAAATAGCATGATTAATTAATTAATATTTTATAGACAAATAATTAGACTAGAAAATAAAATCCCCTTTTGAAAGCATGACAAAAAATTATGTACGTTTATCAATTTTATTTGATAATTGAATTATTTTTTTAAATCATATAATAAACATATTAATTTATTTATTTTATAAATAATAAATCAATTTAAAAAATTATTATTAATTAATTATTATTAAAAAATTATTATTAATTAATTATTATTAATTAATTATTATTAATTAATTATAATTAATTAAATTATTATTTTAAGTTTAAAGTAATACAAAATTTAAATTCAAAATTTTAAATCGACTAATCGAAATATTTCGATTGTTCATATCGATACACAAGATCGATAGTTGAACTCAGAAGCTAACCTCAAATTCTCAAATTAAAAACAATAACAAATATGAAAATAGTTTAGTTTTTCACTTATTTTTGTATAATTAAATGTATTTATTGGTGTTTTTAAGTTCAATGAAGTTATTCTTCTGTAATCGAACAATTTAAGGTAAATTTTAATAAAATTTTCATATATAAAAGATTTAAATATGCTAACCTTTTTCTTTCACTGATATGTCTTTTTTTATATTTGTTTATAAAACACGAATTTTTTTATAAAAATCCTTTTTTTAAATAATTTCATTAGCAATTGTATATTAATAATCAAATTAATAAATAATTATTATACATTTTTTGATAATAATGAATTATTAACAATTATAATATACACTATTTACTATAATTTTTTAATATCTAATATTAATTTATTCCCATTATATTTCCTTCAGAATTTTTTTTTTTCAAACAATTTTTATAATAAACAAATAATAATTATTATTTACAGAACAATGGATCCGGAATTTATATCAAGATTGATACCACAAACAAAAGAACAAATAAGACCAGCGTGTAAAAAATGTGGTTACGCCGGTCATCTAACCTATCAGTGTCGTAACTTTATAAAAGTTGATCCTAACAAAGAAATAGTTTTGGATGTGAGCAGTACAAGTTCTGACAGTGATGAAAACTATGTCACTCCTTTAACGGAATTACGTGAAAAGGAATTAAAAAAAAAGTTGAAGGAAGCAAAAAAGAAAAAGAAAAATAAGAAAAAGGAAAAGAAAAAGAAGAAATCACGTAAACGTTCATCGTCTGAAAGCAGTGATTCATCTTCGGATTCGGAAAATTCATCAGACGAGGACGACGACAACAATAAGAAAAAGAGGAAAAAGAAGAAAAAGAAGTCTAAACATAAAAAACATAAAAAACAAAAACACAGTTCCTCAGACAGTGACGATTGATTTTGTTTTTAATTTAGCACTTATTATATTTTAATTTTTTGACCATGAAATTTGTATTAAAAAAATCATTTATTTTTTTTAAATGATTATTGGCGAAAATTTGTATAAAGTTTTTTTTTTACAAATAAATAATTCATTTTTGATATTCTTTTAACATACCTTATAATTGATGTTTATTTTATAAGAATCTGCTATAATTTTTCATATTGACTTTTGTTGTAATTGTAGGTTAGGTCATTTTTCATTTCTACACTATTATCACTTTTTTTAAAATATTATTTATTATAACAACAAATTTTAATTACCCCGTAAAAGTAGAAAAAGACATTATCGATTGAGAATAAATTTCACTACGTACTTCCAGCAAAATGGCGCTGACACTTTTGAGGTTAGGGAAACGATGCGCAGATCAGTACTGACGCAGACCAACTGACACTTCGCGAATGTTGACACTTATTTGTGATTGATAATTTCGTTTTAATTACAGTAACAAACTATTTTCAATATTGAAAAATGACACGACACGCTAGAAATTGTACTGCAGGAGCAGTTTACACTTATCATGAAAAAAAGAAAGACGCTTCTGCATCTGGTTATGGAACAAATTCACAAAGAGTTGGCAAGGATTCACTTAAAAATTTCGATTGCTGTTGTTTAACTTTACAACCCTGTCGAATTCCTCTTGTCACGTAAGTTTTCCTAATTTTTTCTATTACTATAATTGTTACTATAAACAATTGTAATTGCAAATATAATTAATTAATTGTGAGAATTAGCAAATTCGCCAAAAAATGTCGAAATCTCTAAAGATAAAATATAATTCTAATGAATAATTTAATTCTCTGAATTTTTTAGAAAAGATGGTTATTTATTCGATAAGGAGGCAATTTTAGAGTACATTCTAACAAAAAAAAAGGAATACTCGAGACAATTGAGAGAATATGAAAAGCAAACACAAAAGAAACAGGTAAATTTTTTTTAACAATCTAAATGAAATACCAAAGAAAAAAAAAACTCCAAACATTTCATTTTAAATTTCTATAATAAAAAAAAACATTTTTAATTTAGAACGAAGTACAAGAGAAAACAGCGAACGAAGAATTGGAGAAACTAAAAAAATTTCTCAATGGCGAGAAAAATATTGTATCACAAAATTTAATGAAAAAAAGAGAGGAAGCATCAACGTCAATTTCAAATATGAGCAATGGACAGGATAAGGTATTGCCAAGTTTTTGGATTCCAGCCAAAACACCTGAATCAAAAGAGATTCAACTTCAAAAACCAGATAAAACTATTTACTGTCCAATTAGTGGAAATATTTTAAAAGTCAAAGATTTAATTCCAGTGAAATTTACTGAAGTTAAAGATCCTGATGATAAACGTTCAATTATTGTCAAAGAAGCAAGATATATGTGTCCAATCACACACGATGTTCTAAATAATAGTGTACCTTGTGCAGTTATAAAAACAACGTGAGTTTCTTTTTTTTTATTTTCATCTTTGTATGAAAATAATTAAAATTAAAAGACCCTTTTTCTTAAAATATTGCGAAATTTAAAATAAATTAATAAAAATAATAATTAATTTACTTTAGAAAATAAATTTTTATTTTGAAAATTATCTAATTTTTCCAGAGGCGATGTTGTAACAATGGAATGTGTTGAGAAACTATTGAAAAAAGATTGGATTAATCCTTTGGATAATTCAAAAATTTCTGAAAGTGATATAATACCACTTCAAAGGGTAAGACGATAAATAAATAAATTTAAAAAAAAAAAAAATTAGAAATATGCAAATAAAATTGCGATAAATTTATAGTTTATTTATATAAATAAAATGTTGAGAAATTGTTTTTTTTTCAGGGAGCTACTGGATATTCGGCTGTTAATGATAATTTAGAAGGAAAACACGAGAGACCAGTTTTACAAGCGTAAATACTGGTAAATAATTTTGGGCAACATCTACAATTTCCTAGAATAAAAAAAAGAAAAAAAAATAGAGACCAATCTTTATAATTATTAAGTAATTTACTTTTTATTTATAATTTTTCTTAGCCAATTATTTAGATTATTTTCAAGATAAAAATTTCTTTCTAATTTAATTATTCTTTCTATTAATTCATTAAAGTACGTATTTTTCTTTTCTCTTAAAAATTTTTCCAATTTTAAAGAAACAAGAGAATTTCAAAAGAAATAAATTTTATAATTAAACAACAATTATAAATAATAATTATTTTTATTTTGTTAGTCCATTTATAACTGTTAATAAAAATTATTATTATTACTAAAATTTATATATTTTAAATTCTTACCTTTAAAAAATGTCCATAGAACTTTGAATCCGTTGCAATGCAGTTTTCAATTAATCTGTAATCAGAAAAAAAAGAAGAATGCTAATTTAATATTTATACTAAAAACAAAAATTGAAATAATTAAAATTATTGTTTTCCTTCAAAAATCAGTTTTTAATTTAAAACAAAAAAATATGAATTAAAAATTTTTCTAAATTAAAATAAAAAAGATTATAATTTAACATTAATAAAAACAAAATTTTATTTTACATTAAATAAATAATTTTTTTATTTCTTATTTTCTGTATTGTCGCTATCGATAATAATGAAATAAAAATGTGAACTCAGTTGGTCATTCAGTATTCATTGTAACAAAGACAAACGCGCTTTTTCTCATTGCTGTTTAAAGTTCGCGTCTTTTCATCGTGATCGCGCGCCATCAATTTTTCAATATATATATGTTCATACATCGCACGTTTTATTCGCGCATATTGTGTTGTTTTGTTATAGTTAATTTTTCTTTTTGCGTGTAAAAGTGTTGTAATCAAAACCAAGATGTTTATATCAACAGTAACCGGTTCATTGTGTCTCAATTATTGAGAAAAAAAGGGGGTAAGTGACAAATTGGCAAAAAAAATAATTGTAAATTCCTTTTTTATAAAAAAAAATACAATTTTTTTTTCTAACAATTCTATATTTAGTGTTTAATTGTTTGCTTAATTTTTTATCACAATATTCTCTCAAATTCGAAATTATTTTCTATGTAAAGTTGAGCGCGAACTTACGCGCTTTTTAAATAAACAGAAAAAAAAAAAAATTATAGGTTCAAGGTTACGAGAAGGTTACTGCATCAAATGAAAAAGTCAATGATTTTTTATGAGAATGATCTACAGAACCAGTTTATCATGATTCTTCAATCATTCTTTTTTTTTCATTAAAAAAATTTTTATCTTTTTCTCTTCTTTTATACATTATTTAAATTTTCAAAAATATTGCACTATTTTTGTTGTTGAATATAAAATATTTTTTTTTCTTATTCTAAATAATTTTGTATTAATATTTTTTGAATACGTATTTTCATATAATTTTTTTTTTTTTTTTTTTTTTTGCTGATATAAACAGTTTTTCTGGATTTGAAACAGGTTTTAAAAATTGTATACACGTGTCTCGCAGAAACTTGACATTGAGAAAAAAAGGAAACGTTTTCTTTTTCTGCTAATTATATGAGGAAGAAATATCTAGGTAGAGAAACAGGAAAATGTTTACTTACATGTTTATTTGTTTAAAGAAATTTTATAAACAAGATAAAATTTTCAATATACAAAGACTCTAACGATAAAATATTCTCTAATTTGCATTTTTTTAATCTTTATTTTAGAAATTTTAATTTTTACTAAATATTATTATTTATTTCAAATATTTACGGGCATCGTTTAAAAAAAAAAATGTTAATTTTTTTGTTAACTAGAGCAGAGTGAAGAAAAATTTTTCTTTTTCTATTATCAGGAAGGTTTTTTTTTTCTTTTTTCTTTTTTTTGAGATGCAATCTGTTTGGTTTTGTATAAACAGCAATACGATGTATATATTGCATATTGCACTCGTGCATTTACTATTGTCAAGTGAATATGAGAGAATTCTGCACACGCCACGAATTACAAACACATGGTTTGCATTGATATTGTCAGCTAGGAGAGCATATTTGTAAGTGAAAACATTAGAAGCCTCGAGAGTCTATACTATTATAGTGTTCCAACATAATTGATAAGACTTAAAGAATACATAGCGCGGATAAACGTCAAGTCACTATGAATTTCAAATATAAATATTTTTTTTAAATTTCTAGTTTTTAATTTTTTGTATAAATATTTTTTAGAAATAAAAAAAAATCACAAAAAATAAATGAAAAAAAATTTAACGATTTTTTTTTTTAATTAAGAGTTTTTCAATACAACAGAATCTAAGATAAAAGCTTCTTACTTAAGAACAATTAATTTTTCAATCAATTTATTTTCAATTATTTTGTCATTGTATATTAATTGAGGAAACTTGAAAGAACTTTAAAGAGACGCACTTCCGATTTTTTTTTAAATTCATTATTCTATAGCGAATTAAAAAATCTAAAATTGAAACTAAATTAATTTATCGTTTTTTATTAATTGGGTAATTAATTTAAACAATGTATTAATTGAATAATTTATTAATTAAACAATTAATAAAATTAAATTAGTTATTAATTAAATAATTAATAAAATTAAATTATTTATTAATCAAATAATTAATAAATCAAATAATTAGTTAATTAATTTTTTTTATGGGCTAAGATAATTAAAAAAAAAATAAACCCCAAAAAAAAAGAAAATTCTGAGGTTGTGGAGTTTCATTCATAGAAGGTGTGAGACGCAAGAATCATTATTAGTTGCTAAATACAGTCGTATTGGGTTGACTGAGCTCACAGATAGTTTAAACATTACGTAATAACTTTTGCGTGAACGTGTTGCGCATTACCTCTCGTATCAAAGTTAATGTGGAACATAGTGTAACGGTCATTTTCCCACAAAATACACGCCTTTGGGCTAACACACGAGATAACTTATCGTTTTAGCTACTTGCAATTTTCCTTTCCGGCACCTTCGAATTTATTATACAAAGATGTTTAAAATTAGATTTCATATATTGTTATATTATATCCGATGAACTTTCTTTTTCTTTCTTTCGATAAAATTTCATAATTTATTCCAAATTTTTTTTAATTTAAATCAAATGTTCAGAATAAATTAAAAAAAAAAATTAAGAAATAAATAAAAATCTTTAAAAATATGAAAATTTTTAATAAACAATCAGAGATAATCCGAATATTCCTATAATCACAATAATTTAACTATTTTCATAGAAAAAGAAAAAATGATTTTCTTGAAGAATCATCGATTACACTTGCTAGGTTGCCATAGGTTGACGATGCGGCTTCTTTCTCAAACCGTCAATTTGATTTGATTGTGTCTCCGACGCGGAACATGAGAAATAGAATTCATTTTTTAACCGTTTTTTTATTTTTTTTTTTTTAGCAAACCGCGAGAAATTCAAAAAAAAAAAATATTTCTCTTCTTCGATAAGACGAGAGATAGTCTTTCTGAAGACGTTCAAGAAAACGATATTTTTATAATATAATAATGGAAAAGGTTTTCTATTTCCTACACTGAATATCTCATGTTACAATTTTTAAAAAAAATATTTATATATTCATAGAAAAAAGAGAAACTATAAAATAATTTATTCAATGAATTGATTTTTGCAAAATTATTTTCCAAAAATTGAAAAACTTTATCATTTTTAAATATAATATTAATTAATTTCTTGTTAATTTTTTAATAAAAAATTTTTTTTTATAATTATTTATTTATAAAAAAAAATTTTAAGCCCATACTTTAAAGATGAATTTTTTTTTCATTTTTCTAATAAATAAATTTCCTATATTCAAAAATAACTAAATATCAAAATGTGATTTCTTTTCTTACAATAAAAAGAAAATTCTTCCTATTTGTCTATATACGACCTTTGACATTTGTTGATAGAATAAATAAATAAATGTCATTTTCCCATAAGGAAAATTCAAAAATAGCAATGTCAGGGATCAAAACAGGTTGATCTTAGCGGGTGACTATTTTGTTATTGCAAAACTTATAATGCGTCAAGATATTCCCTGGTTGTATATAATAGTTAGATGAAAAGGTCAAAACTGTTTCAAATGCAAATTCTGTAAAAGCGCAGACATACTATATATGTGTGACATATGGTGAATGGACAACATCATATAATACATTAGTTGACCATTGGATATATATATGGACCATATATAGAGAATATGACCTAGGTTAATAATTATTATTTTACATTCTGAGACTCTATATATATAGAGAGAGAGAGAGGCTTGCACGCATATATATGATCCGAAGAAAATTGAATTAAGGCCCATTTAATTCACTCAATATATGTGCCTTACGATTCAATCTTCCTTTGTGACTATGTATATTATTCATATTGGGTCACGTATAACAGAAACTAAATTCAATTTTTACACAGGCGATTAATATAAGAAAAGAATTTTTTTTTTTGAAATTCGCAAATTTTTTTCTTAATAAATTTCTATGACTAATTTAAAAAAAAACAAGAAAATAAAAAAAAATAATAATATTTTTTTAGTGAAGAATAATTAAAATCAATTTTTTTTTGTTTTTTAAACAAAAAAAAGTGGAATTAAAAAAAAAAATTTTAAGGTGTCTGGAACATAAAAATTACCCTTTATAAAAATATTTAAGAATGAAAAAACTTTTATCGGAAAAATTATTCAAGAATGAAGAAAATATTTCCAAAAATTAAAAAAAACTATTGCAGAAGTTAAAATAATAAATTATTCTAGAATCAAGAAAATATATTTCTTCATCAAAAAATTATAAAAATTATTAAAAAAAAAATTTTTTGAAACATTTTTTTGAAAAGAATCTTTTTTTTATTTTGTAATAAAGAATATCGTTCATCTTTTATCTCGCAGTTAATTATGAAAATAAAAATCAAAATGTTTTTCACTTCATCAGTGAAAGAAAATCAATTTATTTGAAAATTAACATCCATTGAATCGTAAAAGTAAATTCCTTGTGTTTATTAATAAACTAAGAAATTGAAATTATTGTTTAAAATCCATGAAATTCTCATCTCAACGATCACATTGTGAATATATCACAAAACTGTATTACGTCTCAAAAGTAGAACAATATTTTTCATAACAAAAGAATATATTTACGTTTGCAAAATTATTATTGAAGGATTACAAATATATATATATATATATATATATATATATATATTTATTCCAATGAGAATAAAACATTACCTTGACACTGACAACCCTTCACTTTTTCTCTGCATTTACTGGGTCGCTATATTGATTTTGTATTCCATTATCTTTTTTAACGCACAAGAATTAATTCTTGAAAGTATTTTCTTTTTTTTCAGAAATAATATTTTTCAACGAATTTTTTGAAAATTTTATATAAATAATATTTAAATTCTATCAATGACTAGGGCTAAAGACCTTGCTTTAGAAGCCGGTGGAAGGTTAAAATTGATTTAGAATTAAAATTACCGTAAAATCAATTATTATATAAGATTCGAGATAAAGGGTAACGTATATATATATATATATATATATATATATATATATATATAGAAGAAAAATCAATCGCAAAAACTATTTATTTTTTGTTAAAAATTGTTTAAACTTTTTTCGAAAAATTTTCCCTTTTTCTATATTGTAATCAAAATATTTTTTAAATTTCGAAAAAATATTAATTTTTTTTCGAAATTAATTAAAAAAAATATTTATTACGTAATTCTTGTTTTCTATGTTAGTTTATTTATTTTATTCGTCGTCCTTTTGTTTTACAATTTATCAAGTTCCCCACACAATTTATATGGAGCATAAACACTTGCTCCAGTAAGCAAAAGTTATTGTTGTTCTCGAAAATATATTGTAAAGAGTTATAATAATAATAACAACAACAAATTATAACATTGATTTCAAAAGCATCTCAAACTTCCAAACTAGAAGTACAAAAAAAAAAAATAAATAAAAAAAAAACTTAAACAACCTTATAATTCAATGGAAGGTAAATGAGTAGACGTCATTTACAAAGCTACAATCTGTCATCTACAGACTCGATATACCGTTTACATAATAAATGGTTAAATTGTTATATCATCGGTCTTTCTCTCTCTCTCTCTCTTTATCTCTCTATAGCGGGCCTGTTTATGGAGGAATGATAAGGGACCTGGCATTCAAATTATGTTTGCATATATATTTTTATTTTTCATTAAAACTAAAATTATAATCGAAAACAAAATTAATATTTCAAAATAAAATTTTCTTTTTCCAATAAATTACTTTTGCAACGTTAACTATATAAATATGAAAATTAAAAAAATTTTTTAAACAATTTCTTAAGTGTATTCTTAAACGCGACTGTGCGAAAAAAAAGTCGTTAAATCAAAGCTTTTTTGTACTCATTGGGGATTTATTATTATTATTATTGTCTGGAGCTTTAAATTAGCCGACCAATTAAAAAGAGGTACACAGGAAAATAAGATAAGATATTTTTGCAGCTGAATGATTTCCGGTGTTCAATTAATATACAGAGTAATTTTTATATTCCGGATCCGCTAAAAAAAAATTTTAATCTCATTTTTTTCGTTTTTTAAACAAAAAGTGGAATTAAAAAAACAAAAAAATTTAGGAGGTCAGAAAAAAAATTATTATTGTTTAAAAATATATAATAAAAAAAGAAAGATAAATTTTTCGTAAAAAATTGAAAATTTGTTCTCTATTATAATTACAGATTATAAACAGCAATTCAATCATTAAATGATGACAAGAAAACCAAAGTTCGATGTACATTTGAAGGTAAGAAAAAAAATATTTTTTTTCTTAAAAAAATTTAAATTTAAAAATTTAAAAAAAAAAATTGAAAAAATATACATAAATAAAATATAAAGAAACGAATTAGAAACTCAAAAAAAAATTGGTTATGAATGGAAAATTTTTGTTTTACGAAAGAAAAAGGGGAGATTTTTTTTTTCTAGTTGACTGAGCGAAAAAACGAATTTTTTTTTATCCCCTTATTCTTTTCCGGAGGGCAGTTGGCGTCATCTTACCAATCAACTTCGAAAATGAGTGGTCAACTACTTTTACAAGGGAAAAACTAGCTTATATATATCAAATTTCTCAATAAAATAATCATTGTAAGACGAAACAAATCTCAGGAAAATTTAAAAAAAAAAATTCAAAAATTTTTTCATTCAAATTATAATACAAAAAGCACAGCAATTATTTATAAAAATGTGTAATTATTTTTAAAAAAAAATTTACTTTTTTTAATTAACCAAATTAACATATTAACATATAATTAGGTAACAAAAATGATAAAAAAGAACTATTATTCTGAAAAAAAATAATCACAATTTTTAACATTAATAAAAATTACTAGAAAAATAATTTTTAATAATTGTAAAAAAATAAAGTAAAATAAAATATATAAATAAAATATAAAATAAAATATATATTTATAAATCTGTTCTCAAAGTTATAATCTAAAAATGTTTGAATGAATTAATTGATGAATAAAATCGTTCTAATCAATTCAGTTCGATTGAAACGCTCGCGAGATGACGTATTTGATTTATTTTTTTTTTTTTTTTACAAACGAATTAATATCATGTGTGTATTTGTAAGGGGGGAGGGAGGATTTATATATATATATATATATATATATCTCTATGTATGTTTGTCGAGGTCGACACTGTAAATTGGATAAGGGAAAAGCCCATCCGCTTAGGTCAGAAAATTCGTTTTAAATTAATCAACGGGGTTGATCCTTGGTAACCAAAAAATCATTCTAATTAATGGAGGTCAAAGCCTCCCTCTTCCTGACACAATATATATTCGGTCACTTCAAACGTTGGACAAACTATACGATTAATAATAATTAATGGGTATAACAGACAAACGACAAGCTTCCAGGTTAAATCGTCATGCGCCTATGCTAATCTCAAGTAATCAGTGTCCATTCGCTAATTAGTCCAATGTGCATTATGTGCGGAAATACTTTTTGAAAAAAATTTTTTTAAATTTTTTTATTTCAGGTGAAAATTTTTTTTTATTATTTAACAATAAAATATTATTTTTATTAATTATTGAATTAATTTTTCAAAGAATTAGTGAAAGATAAAAATTTAGTTAAAATTAAAATTTTTTTTTTGATAATTAGTAAATTTTAACTAATTTATAGCAAAAAAGTCAAAATACTTAAAAAAAAATGTAATAATTGCATTCTACATTGTAAAAAAATTTAATTTTCAAACTTCGAATTTAATTTTCAAGTTCAAAAGACGAGGAAAACTTTTTTCATATCTTTTACGTACTATTTCGGTTAAAGTATATCACGTTATTTGCCAACCAACTACTTGAATTGCTCTTCAGAAAAAATGTACTAAAATGCATTTTATTCAGAATTGACATATGTTCCCTCGTCTTTTTTTCACATCAAAATATATCAATAAATGCAAAAAAAATTTAACTTTCGAAATTTTTTATAGAAAAAAGTATCAGCAAAATATAATTTAATCGAGAAATTAAAATAATAATTTTTTTTGTCTTATATTATACACTCAAAAAAATTTAATTAATTCAAATAATCTTGTAAACGGAAAAAAAATCTTTATCTGGCACAGTGATATCTTTCTCTAGAATAACGAAAATTTTCGCTATTTTAGTAAAATATATCGCTGTTTCAGTGAAACTTATCGCTTATCTAGGTAAACATTTTTTTCCCTGGTACTTTACTATTAACAAATAAATATTTACTTGAATCAAATAATTGAATTAAATAAACTGTATTTGTCTCACAGCCTACTAGCCAATTTATTTGGCGTATTAATAAAATTATTTATTTAAATCAAATAAAAATTTATTTGAACCAAATATTTTTTATTTGAATTAAAAAAATTGTGTTTGAACCAATAATTTTTATTTGAATTAAAAAAATTGTGTTTGAACCAATAATTTTTGTTTATATTTAAAACTGACCCAAATAATAATTATTTAATAAAAACAAATATTTATTTGATAATAGTCAAGTAACCTATTACTTGAATCAAATAAATTTTTTTTTTCAGTGTATAGATAAGAGATTCTTTTTTTTTTAATCATTTAACAGATGAGAATCGCGCTGGCGCAAATGGATTCGACCCACCCCCAATTGGGGATGGAGTAACTTTTGCCTAGTGCAAATCTTCTATAAGCATGATGGTATAGGGCGGTTTCAGTCACTCCCACCTGCGCCTCGGCACGCGACCACGTGGTGTTCTTTCGCCGCGGTCGCGCGACTTACTAGTCGCTCTCGTGACTCCCGCCGTTTCGGAGTCAATTACACTAATACGCGATCATTTTACAAAATTTCAAAAATAGATTTTCAATTTTTCAATATTATTCACCAAAAAAAATCACCAATTTAGAAGAAAGAAAAAAAAAATTTTAATTAACAAAATGTATTTCTCATCAATTATAAAACTCTATTTAAATATAAAATTAAAAATGAAAGACATCGATGCAAAATAAAAAGCAGAAAATTATTTTTAAAACGAAAAGAAAATTACGGACAAAAAAAAAGGCAAAAAGTGTATAGAAAATAAAAATGCTCCTTTGTCCAATTTTGGAAAGAAGGAAAAAATATGAAGAATTTAGTTGTGAAAAGTTGTTTTTCTTTATAATTGTGAATTTTATTGTTTATATTTTTTAGTGTTGAAAATTGTTTTGTTGAAATTTTTTGAAAAGGCATTGTTACTGTGAAAAAAAAGTGATAAAGGAATTGTTACCGAAACGATGTGATATTGTTAGAAAAAAAAAAAGAAAAAAAATGTGATACGTATTATAACAAAAGAAGTGCTATAGATATATATTGTTAGCGTAAAAATTCGAAAAAAGGAAAAGAAAATAAAAAGTCGATATACAATATATGAATTAAAAAGGAAAATCATTAAAAAGAAGAAGAAGAAGAAGAAAAGCAAATTATAAGAGAGAAGTTTTAAAAAAAAAAGTACACCTGCGTTACTTATAAACTTCGATTTTTTTTTATTTCTTTTTAATTCCAAATAAGAAGAAAAGGCCCTTTGGGTCGTGACCACGTGACAAAGCACGAGTGAATCGTCTATAAAAAAAGAAGGCTCAACGCCTTCTGAAATAGTCGAGGATGCCGCCTCATCCTCAAAGTGGATATATGCGCTCTTCGGTAAGCCGAGAGATTATCAAGGTCGAGGTCATTTATTTGATTTATCATCTTATCTCATATTGTCTTCGTTAATTCGATTTTCAATACCCCCCCCCCTCAACCCTTTAAAAAAAAATTTATTTTTACAAAATTAAATTGTCAACAATTTCAATTGTTTTATAATATTCAATTATCCTTAATAAAGACCCAAAAAAAACAAAACAATATGGATGAAATTGAAAGAAAACAGGACAAAGTGAAGAAAAAAAAGAAAGAATAATAATTTGACTAAAAAATATTTCCAAAAATTGAAATGGTCCAAAAAATTATTATTTTGATGTGTAATTTTTTGTATTGGAATATTTTTCTGCTAATCAAAGGAAACATCAATGAAATTGGAAGGTAATATTTTGTGATTAACGAAAAAAAAAATACAATTGCTTTATCTATTTTGTATGTTAAAAATTAAATTGTTAACACTTACACTGAAACCCTTTTATAAATTATTTTTTTTTATTTGAAGATACTAAGTTGGACTAACTTTTTATTATTATTATTATTATTATTATTAAAAAATCAGTTTAAATAATGAAATACAAATAAAATATAAATAATAATTATTTTAAATATATAAAAATTAATAAATATTTAAAATATAGTAGACAAACTTTAAGTAAAAGTACTCGTGTCTATAATATATATTGTGAAGAAAAGAAGAAGTAGACTTTCGCGAAATGTCATAAAAATAAAGAAATATTACTGACGAGAGAGTAGTAATTATCATACTTCATAAGAGGCGTATAATAATTCGTCACATATAACAGTCAATATCCATTGATTAATCACTGATTCATCACTAATATTTTGTACATTATTATTCTACAGTTTATCATTTTTCATTTGTTTTTTTTTTGTTTTTCTTTTCCTAATTTCTCATTTATTATACCTATTATTATTTCAAATTAATCATCACTTTTAATTTTTCCCCAAAAAGAATACAATAATAATAGAAATAAATATATTTAAACATATTTATTATTATGTCACAAAACTGTTGATTTTTATCCTGTAATATATCAGAAATAAGTGTTTTATAACAATTTAGATATATAAAAAGTTATACCATTTCTTGTTATGTGACATATTATTCTTTGAGATAATATTTCAATGTTGTATTGTCAATAAATTTTTAATATTTCGATTGAATATATATATTTTAATTTTTAAAAATTGTAACAAATTTAGAAAAAAAAAATTAAATTGCATTCACAAAAAATAATAAAATAAAATAAAAAAAAAACTCAGAAAATGTGTTTCACGAAAAAAAAAACTTACAAAGAAATAACTAAAAATTTCCCCCCAATTTGTGAAGAGAATTCAACAGATTACAATATAAAACATGAATTTAAAAATATACTTTAGAAAGTAGTAAAATCATTTTTTAGTCAGACGCAATACAGGCACAATTTTTTTTTTTTTTTTTTGCAAGCAAATTGATTTTCTTTCAATTATATTACGAGGGCAATTGGATTTTCAACAAAGAATATTTTTCTCAAATTTCAATATATAAAACGTTAAAAATTTGATTGTCAAAAAAAATATCTAAAAATTGTTATAAATTTTCATTTAATGGTCCAATTAATTCTTTCTTGATATGTATATAAAAGAAAAATAAAAAAAAAATATCGAAATAGAAATAAAAAAAATGGAACATGTAGGATTTAAAAATCTAATGATCTTGATTGACTTGCACACGATCTTTTCATCTTTTAAATCTTACGATAATTATAGAGTCTCTGTTTAGATTATTGGAAGTGATAATGTCACACACTATACTCTCTCGCCAATGCGTATATACATTTACCTAATATAACGAGTTCATGGATTTAAATTTAATAAACATTGTATATTGAATCAAATTACTCTCGTAACATTCAAATTAAACTCATTTCATAATCAAGAATTGTCCATTAAGTCAATTGGGTCGCAAATTCATTTACACTGCATCATATAATTTCAAAAATTATAACTGAAAATTTTTTTCAATGCAAACTTCAATATTTTAATAATAATAACAATAATAATAACAACAATTATTATAATGAAAAAAATAATAATAATCAATAATAATAAGTAATAATAAAAAAAAATATCCTTAGTATTTTAAATTAGTGACAACTTTTTTTCAGATTAAATAAAATTTAATTTCATTCATTTTTATTGTAAGAAAAAACTAAATGAGATAAACTGTAAAACAGAAAATGACCTCTTGCCTTTAGTACTAATATTGAAAATAATTTAAAATAAAAAAATATTTTTCTCAAAAAAAAAAGAGAATATTTTCACAACCCTCTAAATTCTTACTGCACTGAGTTTCAGAGAAATTATAAAAACATTTTCAATATTATATTTGTCGTGCAATTATAAAAACTGACATGAAAATTGCAAAATAAAAAATCAATTTTTTTTGGAAAGAACAAATTTTTGAATTTCGATTTTACAAAAACAGAATTTGGTTCTCAGACGAAGAAGGATTATTGCCAACCAGCGGGGATGTTTTCGGGAATTCCGAGGCCGTTAAAGAGAGATTGACTAGCATAAGCCCTCGGATTTATCGTCATCCTCAACATCATCATCATCAACAACAAGATCAACGACAACGTGATATTCAATCGGGAGATTTATTTCGATATCGATATCCGGTAGCAGAAATGGTCGCACAAGAAATGTCACAGGGTTATACCCAATTACTTCATCAAACTCATGAGCCACAGGAATACATATCATTAGAAGAACTTAGACCACGACTTAATCAAGAGAATCACAATCAAAATCATCGTGATAATCATCATAATCAAATATCAACATCAACATCCAATACGGAACAACTTTATCAACATCAAAACTATCAAGAACCCAATTATTATAATCTTTCAAATGTTCAAGAGTAAGTTTCTCAAATATCTCAAATTAATCATGGGGAAAAAATATTTTTGTCAAATTAAACGAATTTACGGATATAGTTATAAATTTCCTGTATGCGTAAAAAGTTTAAACAATTTTTGCCTTTAGTATGTTATAAAATAATAAAAATTCGCCTTTTTTTGTTTTCCTCATTGAGAACAATAAAAAAAGTCGAATTTTGTTTGAGGAATTCACATATGAACGATTGACTTGCCTTTAAAACATCATCATCATGATCATCATTTTCATTAGCCATCAATCGTTTCATCGACCGTATATAATACCAATGAAATAAAATTATATGTATGACGCAATACAAGGCAATATGATGTAACATTTTCACGATTAAAAACTCGTAGAATTTATAATTTACAAAGAAAAACACTAGGAAAAATATATACGAACAAAAAAAAAATTTGATTAGAGTATTTTTTTAACTTGAAATTTTGCCTTCGATCAAGAAATAATATCGAAAATTAATTTAAAATTTTTAAAAATCGAGGGTCTATATATACACGTAAGACGTTGTCACGTCAAAAAGTACAACTAAATTTTTCCAATAAATTAAAATATTTACCTTAATGACGAATTCTCAGCTTCAAGGAGATGCTTACAAATTAAATAGCCCTCGGAGATCCCTACTTTCAAGTTAAATTTCCATTCAGAAAATGTGAAAAATAACCGTAAAAATAGACCGAGTTTTAAAAAGTCTGCAACTGGAGAATATGGAGAATTATCTTTGAAGTACATGACACCACAAGTCATCCAGGATAGAATCTGCAAAAAAAAATAAGTGTGGCATTGAGACAAAACATAAAGTGATCTAAATTCACGAAATCCGTGATCTAATTTCGCGGAATTCGCGACCTAGTTTCTCAAAAAACGTGATCTAATTTCGCAAAATCCGCGATTTAGTTTCGCGGAATTCGTGACGTAATACGCGAAATCCGTGATTTAATTTCGCGAAATCCGCAACCTAGTTTCGCAAAACCGTGACTTAATGTAGGGAAATTTACGAATTTGTTCCCCCAAAAGCGTGACCTGATTTCGCGGAATCCGTGAACTAATTTCGCGAAATCCGCGATCTAGTTCTGCCAAAATCACGACCTAATTTAACGGAATCCGCGATCTAGTTTCGCAAAATCTGCGACCTAGTTTTTCCAAAATCAGGACCTAATATAATGGAATCCGCGATCAAGTTTCGCGTAATTCGTGACGTAATACACGAAATCCGTGATTTAATTTCGCGAAATCCGCGACCTAATTTCACGGAATTTGTGATCCAGTTTCGCGAAATCCGCGACCTAGTTTTGTTAAAATCACGACCTAATTTAACGGAATCCGCGATCTAGTTTCGCCAAATCTGCGACCTAGTTTTGCCAAAATCACGACCTCTAATTTAATGGAATCCGCGATCAAGTTTCGCAGAATCCGTGATCTATTTATGGGAAATCCGCGAACTAGTTTCACCAAAACTGAAACCTAATATCGCGGAATCCTTGAACTAATTTCTCGAAATCCGTGATATATTTCCGCGAAATCCGCGAACTAGTTTCGCCAAAAGTGCAACCTAATTTCGCGGATTCCGTAATCTGATTACGCGAAATCCGTAATATATTTACGCGAAATGAGCGACCTAGTTTCGCGGAATTCGTAATTTTATTAAGCGAAATCCGTGATATATTTACGCGAAATAAGTGACCTAGTTTCGCGGAATTTGTAATCTTAAGTACGCGGAATCTGTGATCTAATTTCGCAAAATCCGTGATATAATTACGCGAAATTCGCGATTTAGTTTCGCCAAAACTGAAACCTAATTTCATGGAATCCTTGAACTAATTTCGCGAAACCGCGAGCTAGTTTTGCCAAAATCACGACCTAATTTAATGAAATCCGCGATCAAGTTTCGCGGAATTCGTGACGTAATACCCGAAATCCGTGATTTAATATCGCGAAATCCGTGACCTAATTTCACGGAATTTGTGATCCAGTTTCGCGAAATCCGCGACCTAGTTTTGCCAAAATCACGACCTAATTTAACGGAATCCGCGATCTAGTTTCGTCAAATCTGCGACCTAGTTTTGCCAAAATTACGACCTAATTTTACGAAATCCGCGACCTAGTTTCGCGGAATTGGTGACCTAATTTCGTATAATCCGTGATCTAATTTCCACGATAAAAAAAATATTTAATTCCTGATTATAGTAAACAATTCTTATAAAGAATTAATTAATGAAAAATTCATTAAAACTGTTCCATAACATAAATATACAAACTCCCAATTTTCTAACGAGTTTAGTAATATAAAAGTACGTATTTCTTTAACAGAATACGGTATTATTGAAACCCCCCCATTATTTTACCGACTCCCGCTCCTCGTTCTTTTTTTTCAACTTTTTTAAAAAAATCTTTCTAATGGGCCGTATCATTGATTTGTGAATAAATCTCCCATTTAACAGTGAATGTCAGTTGTGAGATTTAATAGTGAAGTTTCGCGGATCCGAAAGAAATGCCAAGTCTCGCCGATTGGGCGTGTAACAAGTTCCATGCGCGTACTAATGGCTCGTAACGAGCATTTACGCGCCAAGAAATTGAACATTCTGAGAATAAATTGACTTGTGAATTATTTACGATCTATTTTGCAATATCTATTGTTTTAAAAACATTGTTTTTTTTTTTAAATACAATTTTCTTTATCAATTTTTAACATTATCATTGATTTGATTCTCGTGACTTGTTTTTGATTTTAATAAATAATAAAATTTTATATAAAATAAATAAAAAGGGTGTATATACCTAATTTATTTATTTACTTTTTTTTTTGATTAGAAAACATTTGTGATGTCATATGTACGAATGTAACCTATGGATAAGTAGAATTACGTTAATCGCTCAAGTTACATCATACACGCGGAACTATACACTTGCACTTCACCGATGCAGATAAGTGGTTGACCTTGTAGTGACTGACGTTTTTTTTTTCTGTAGAAACATTGCAAACTTATAAGCTTAGTTTTCGCGTTGATAAAAGTTTGACGACAACCAGATCAAACTAATTACACGTTTATTTATACATATATTATAAAACAAAAAAATAAAACAAAAAATTGAAAAACGCAACATTAATGTATACAATCAATTTTAATAACTGAATAAGAAGAGTAATTTTCAACTCAACAAATCATAATTTTTGAATAAAAAAAATTAGTCTAATTGGCAATTTTAATTTTTAAAAAAAGTTACAATTGTTTATTATTAATAATAAATTATAAGTTCCTTTTTATCATTAATTGTTGATAATTTTTGCATTTAACAGTTAAAATTTTAAATTGTTATAATATTAAAATACAGTGAAAAAAATAAGAAAATTTTTAATGAATTTTGCTCTAGTGAATATAAAAATAATGCAAAATTTATGTATATATCAAAATAGTTATGCAATATGTCATAGATTTATCAATCAGAAATAATGAGCACAAACTTCATGTTAACAGTTAATCTTTAGTAGAAAGAGAAAGAGTGAATGTGAATGAAAACGAAAGTCACTATAATATACTTATCTCAAATAAATGAGAATTGATTTTCATCATTTAAACGCATAATAAACCACTGCATTGCAATGTCAATAGTAAATTTTAATTAGGTATACGATCTTTTTTTTTAATTTTTCTTCTATTTTAAAAAAAAACATCAAAATTATTTTTATTATTAAAAATAAATATTCAACTAATTAATTAATTTTTAATTTTTATTTTAAGAAGTTCCTGCTCAACAATATATTTTGGAGACATAGGATCAGGGGTGGGGGAATTAGGTGGAACGGCGGGGGATGGCGAGGGTCTTGGACCAATCCCAACCCCCGGCCAAGTCAACATAAATCGCGCGAACGACAACACCGGAATTCCCAAAGCAAGTGGAGGAAATACAATTGTCACTTCCGTCAACACTTCCACGATAACAACAACATCTTTACCTCAAACTATTGCGGGGACTAAACCCCCCCAGCATATGGAGACAACACCCCCTTCTATGATCAATGATCAAACAATATCATCCGATCATTACTATCATCATCATCATCAACAACAAGAACAACAACAACCACCACGACGAAATTCCGTTAAACAAAATATTCATACCACAAATAATGATTCTACTGACGATTTTACTTCTGATACAAAGAAGAGGAAAATTTGTTTCCAGTAAGTTTAACACAAATAATTGCAAATTATAATTGTGCAAATTTTTATTTACACGAATTGGTATTTTAAAAAAAAAATTTTTAACGCGGAATTTGACCAAACACATAGAAAGATTTCGGCTATTTTAAAAATTGACTAATAATAATTATTTTTTTGATTTCTGACTGATCAATTTTAAAAATTGCGCCAAAATCTTTTTGTTGGTTATTTGTTCGGTCATTGTCAAATTCGGTGGTTTTAAAATTCATATAACAATTTGTGCCAATAAAAATTCAAACAAAGGCATTTAAAAAATTATTGAATTACTTAAAATTCTGTTGAATAAAAATTCGACGGCCTAAAAATTTTGTTATAAAGCTAAATTCGTTCTTAAAAAAAACTGACAACTTCTAATTCGGAACAATGAAATATTCATGCCCTCCTAATAAAAAATATTAATTTTGTTAAGAAATATGTTAAACACTTTAAGAAGTCTTTGTAATTTTCATATGATAATAATAATAATCTCGCTTTCTGAGGCATATTATCAACGGTCGAATTGTCATCCTTTCATCTCTCAAAGTTGTTTGAGATTAGAGATGAAACTAACATTCTCAAGAGAAATAAACTTCATTAGTGATGTGAATACAAATTCATTCGATATATATATAAACGTTACTCTTGAAAAGTAACGCGTTACTTATTTTAATAATCACGTCAATTTAAGACGTGAAGAATTATAATATATTGCATATAATAATTAAGTGAATAAAAATGTTAAATAAAAATTTTACAACAAAATAAAAATTTCCAATGGCTCAAAAAAAAAATTCTTAAAAGCATGTAAAATTAAATTATCAAGCATAAAATTACAATTTGCTTATATATTATAATATTTATTAGACTCTTATTTTGTTATCAGGATGGAAAATCTTGAAGAAATTTCCAGTCTATATCTATATATGTAAACTTTTGATTATTAAGCAAGTTGATAATATGACAGTCCAAGCTTTTTTTTTTAATTCTATAAATTTCTCTCGCAACAAGTTTACATAAAAAATATTTGCTCATGTAATAATTATCATATAAATTCTCATTCGCGGCGAAGTTAAATAACACACTACACTTCCACTTTGATCGATACTTATGTATCATTTCATAAAAATAATTATGGGCCTGAAAATATAGCGTTCTATAAAAAAATTTCAAAAATTTTTAATATTTAAGAAAACTTTTTTTCAAGCCTCAATCTTTTTTTTTTTTTTTTCTTATACATTCTATTCGAGTGACATTCCTTTGCAGTGAAAATATTACCTAAAATAACAGAGTTTAGAAAAAAATTGACACTTATAAATCGTATAAATATATATATATATATATAATAAATAAGTGAATAATTTAAAGCACGACAACTAAATAAGGGTTATGATTTAAAAAATACCAAAATGTATTCCAGAGAAATCTTGAGAATTGCAATCGATTACTATATATTTCTTATAAAGTATATAACGAAACCCTTCGAAAACACTTTTCAAAGGAGCGATGAAGCTCTAGGAACTCGAACTTGTCGAAATTCAGTCTCAAAGGGTTAACCAGCTCTTTGAAGAATCTAACTATATACGTAAGGGCATATTTCCTTGACAAGTATATATATATAAACCAATGTTGACATTCACCAGAAATAAACAAAGAATAAAAACTTCAAATTACAGTATAAACTTTTTCTATTACCTGTATAGAAAAAAAAGGATATCCAATCGTGCTACTATTTTTCAATTAATTTAAAAAAATTTTTAAATAATTAAATATTAATTTTTTGATTTTACTTTTAGAGACAGAAACGATACGCTCCTTGAGACTGGGGATGATGCCAAATCATTTCGTTCTGGCGATGACAACAAAAAGTGAGCTTTCTTTTCCAAAAAACATTTAAATAGGAATAAAAAAGCCTTTTTGATTTTACTTTTATCTATTTATTATATTTTTACTTTAATCATTCATTTTGTATTCTATATAAAATATTTTTTAACTACTGTTTTTATTATTATTATCATTATTATCATTATTATTATTATTATTATTATTAATATTATTATTATTATTGTTAGAATTATTTTATTATTATAAAATTAATTTTACCGTATAGGAATTTTCTATAACAAAAATGTAATATAGATGAGAAAAAAATTAATTACTCTAAAAGAAATGAGTATAATAAAACAATGCGGATGTTTTGTCTGTATTTCCTCAGTTACATTGCATCATAGTGGATCAGGAGACAAGGTAATAGATAGTTACCTTGACCTACCTTCGTTCGCAACGAGGCTTCGCCTACAATCCGCACTGTATTCGCCGTTAATTTTAAGAAGATCACAAAAATTATAACAAATGAAAAATTTAACAAATTCATCAATTTTTTTTTTATACTAAATATTTATTTTTTTTATTTATATTAATTTCTATTATTTCAATTTTTTTATATTAAAAAAAAATTATTAGAAGTCATGATTGTTTTTGTAATTGCAATTTAGCTTTTTTTTAATAATAATAATAATAATAATAATAAAAACAAATTGCATAATGTTGAAACTGATTTTTTACAAGATTGTTAATGATAACAGCAACAGAGTAACAGTAAAATCTAATTTTCAACAAAGTTTTTAAAGTTACGTAAAAATTGACGTCATTCGAGAGACTTTATGTTGACAATCGGCTTTATATAGTTATTTTTAGTAATATCTTAATTTTTTAATTTACAAATAGTTATAAAGATTTTCTTTAAACAGAAAATTTTTTAGAAAAGAAAATATTAATAAATAAATAAAACAAAAATTAACAATTTGTTTTTTTGCGTGCTTTGCAGACAAAATCACAGTGAGATTGAAAAAAGAAGAAGGGATAAGATGAACACCTATATCACTGAACTATCAGCAATGATTCCAATGTGCCATGCAATGTCCAGAAAATTGGATAAATTAACAGTTTTAAGAATGACTGTTCAACATTTAAAAACAATTCTCGGTGCAGTTACTTCTTACACTGAGGGTCATTATAAACCAGCGTTTCTCAGCGATCAAGAATTAAAAACCCTTATTTTGCAAGTAAGTATTTTTCCAAAAAAATTAATTTAAAACTTTTATTTTTTTTCCAATTAAATAATTAATTATTAATTATTTCAATAGAATAAATAATAATTATTTTAATAGAATAAATAATTATTATTTCAATTGAATAAATAATTATTATTTCAATAGAATAAATAATAATTATTTCAATTGAATAAAAATAATTATGAATTATTTTAATTATTCAATAATTGATTGTCTAAATAATCATTAATTTTAATTATTTTAATTAAATATAAACAATTTTACGCGATCTATTTTACTTTTACTTTCACTCTCTCTCTCTCTCTGTTCTATCGAAATCTGTCGATTAATCCTTATATCCTTATATATTATAGACACAGATTAATCGCTAGGTGTCTAACGAATTAAATTGCTGGCTTTTGTAATAAGACAAAGTAAATTTTGTAACTTCAGATTATCAACAAATTCATTTGAAAAGTATTAAAAATTACTTTTTCTAAATATAACTTATCTTTATATGTAAAAAAAAAACAATCATAATGCAGATGAAATTGTAGAAAAATTTTCTTTGTGAAGTATTCACGAACTATTAGCAAATAAATATTTACTTGATCCAAATAATTTTTATTTGAATTAAATAAACTGTATTTGAAGTAATAATTTCTGTATTTGAAACAAATATACAATTTAATTGACTCAAATATTAATTTTTTAATTAATAATAATAATAATAATAATAATAATAATAATAATAATAATAATAATAAATATTTATTTGATAATAGTCAAGTAACCGATTATTTAAATAAAATAAATTTTTTCTTCAGTATACGATTAACTTAATTGATGACGAAGTTGAACAAAATAAAGAATGAAAAGTGCGTCAAAAGGCATATTTGATAATAAGCTTTAAAAAAAAAATCAAATATCTAGATTATTTATTGATTGTCAATGATGATATGGCATACAGAGGCACATATATATATATATATATGGTGTATTATAAAAAATTCTCGTCTTTCTTGGTGTAGATGTACGAATGCGAGTAAGATTTCCTGGTGCCTTTGAAAACGATTGCATAACGCGCTCGACATAGTCTCAACAATGACGTGCATGAAGCCGTGAATTCGTAACCTATACGCAGGCTAGATTCGATCCAGCAAAAATGTCACATTCTTTTCTTTTGGTACGAAAACTGACGCTTTGAATTCTTATTTTGCTCGTCTTGAATGCACCCTTTTTTTTCTCTTAAAAACTCTCTCTCTTTTCAAGAAAGTAAAATATCCTTTCACAACGATTTGAATACAAAAATAATTCGACACTAAAAATGTATAGATTTTTTTTTTCTTTAATATAAAAAAAATTTCTTTGAAATTTTTTCACATTAAACAAAAAAAAAAAGTTTCTATTAAATTAAAATGTTTAGAAAATTCATTTAGAAAATGAATAGATTGAAATTTCAATAAATTTGAAATTTTAATGAAGATGAGAAGAAAATTTCATTTATATATATAGGAAAAATATGTGCGAGAATTAGGGAGGTGTATATATATATATATGTTGATGATAGATTTGATAAATAGATAAATATCTGCTTTCACATATGGATGTAAATGACTGTTTGAGAATATTATAGACTAGAAGAAGTGATAGTCACGATTGCAAATAAGCTGTGTATTGAAGCATGAATAAACAGCAATATTATACAATGTTAAATATAATAATATCAATTAATGCTGAGATGCAAAGTTCATGAAATTTCCTAATTGCTTTTAAAATGGTCAATATATCTATTTTCTATAACAAAGAAAACAACCATATATAATGATCATATGCACATAAAAACTCTTTAACAACTCTAAAATTAGTTTCTATTTTTATTTTAAAAACCACGTTTAAAATATGATAATATCCTATAAATTACTTATAATTATAAACCATATTAATTGTTAATAAATTAATCAAACTTACATATAATTATTAAAAAAATTTTTAACACGTTTCTTTTATTCGGATTAATAAATTATTCCCTATTTAAAATCTTCTTTAATTAATTTTTTCAAAATTAAAATTTTTAAATTAAAAAACATCGTAAATTATATTTAATAAATTTTTTATTTTTAAGTATGAATTTTTTTTTAACTAAAGTATAAAATTTTTTTTATACACTTATAAATTTTAATTTAATTTATAGTTTACAACGTCAAAAATTGTTTAAACAATTAAATTGTTAAATAAAATTTAAAAAAAAAATTGTTTTAAACAATAAATGAACTATTTTCATTATTCTCGGAAAAATAAGTCAAAAAAAAAAAAATAAAATAAATAGGTACACCAAAGTTGATAGCCTTGTATGAACCGCGAGTTTCTGTATCATGTATATATTAGAAAAGGTTGGAGCGTTTATCTTTAATCAAGCTTTCATTCGCGTTATCCATGTCTTTACCATGCAATGTAAATGCACTTGCACACACCATGAAAAGGGAATATATTGCCATGGATTGACCACGCCCGAGACATACCAAGTTGGGTCACCGATTTCAACTTACACAATTCCGGGTTTACAATTATTATTATTATTATTATTATTATTATTATTATTATTATTATTATTATTTTTATTATTATATTATTACAATTACCTCAGTAAAATTTTATGATTAAATATGTAAAACAATACCGAAAAAACGAAACTCTAAATTTAAGAATATCTTTTTGGTGCCTATTTAAAAATATTTCCCCTACATTTTATTCTTAAAGTTAGAACATATGTATACTCTTAAAATAAACAAAGAATTCTTAAATCCAGAAATATTTCTGAATAAAAAATTGTTTTCTTATTTTAAGAGTATTTTATTCTAATATTAAGAATAAAATATATGGGAAATAAATTAAATTAAAAAATTGAATTTTTTATTTTTAGTTTTAAATAAAAAAAAAAAATTGAAGACATTAAATATATCTTTACTGAAAATTTTATAAAATAAATGATTACCTCTAATATTATTTATTATATATATATATATAAAAAATAATGCCGGAATGTGAAAGGTTGAAATGGTTTGGATAATAATTTATATAAATTTCAATTGAAATGAATTTTCTCATTTATTTAAATTTTATGTAAATGAATAAAAAAAACAAGAGACATTATATTTATTTTAACGAAATAAAAAGAGGGTTAATTAACATTACATTAAACAAAAGTGCATCTAGGTACACCGATAATTGGAAAGTAAATATCTCAGAATGGGTTTACAAACTGATAATAATAATACTTTCCTTTTCTGTAACTCGCGCCCGCACTATTCTCACGCTCTCGCTCAAGTTGAAAGTTCTACCCGCGCGCATTTTGTTGATATATGAAAAGAACCGAAGACGACACCTCTACTTGTGTGTTTAATTTTTTTTTTCGCAAACGCGATTATTAAATTTCAAGACAATTAAAACTCCAAACGTCGACGAAAACCACGAAATTGATTTTATTTTATTCAAAAAAAAAAAAAAAAGAAAAAAATGTTTTCTTTAATTAATAATTATAAATTAATATTTTTTTATTTAAATTAAAATTGTAAATTGTATTCTTATAATAGAATTAAATTTTAAAAAATGTTAAATTATATTTATTTAAACTATTTAATTTAATTTTTTTTTTATTTAGGCTGCCGAGGGTTTTGTTTTCGTTGTGGGTTGCGATCGGGGACGAATTCTTTACGTATCCAAATCTGTTTCGCAGATTCTTAACTATTCTCAGGTAAATATTAAATTATTTTATTTTATTATAAATAAAGTAATTTAGTTTTTTTAATGACATTCATTTTTTTTATTAATTAAATTAATTAATTATTAATTAATTAAGTTAATTAATTTTTACGAAATATTAATTTTTATTCTAATTCATATAAAGTTGCTTTCTATTAAAATAATAAAAATATTTTTTAAAAAATTTATTTTTTTAATCAAAGGGGGATCTATTGGGACAGAGCTGGTTCGATATCCTTCATCCGAAGGATGTTGCAAAAGTTAAGGAACAACTCTCATCATCAGATCTTAGTCCACGAGAACGGTTAATTGATGCCAAAAGTAAATATATATTTATTTTAATAATTAATTACGAAAAACAACTATTTATTTATCTATAATTGCAAATTTAATTACCCTCTCTAGAATCTCAATCTAATACTAATTAGAATCAATTAAATTAAAATATTATAGATCCCAAAGAATACCATACTATAAAAGCCTTTCACTTTTAAGTGAACTAATTTTTACCGAAAAAAAAAAAAAAAAAAAACCCTACAACATCAGATAAATACTTTTGGAGCTTGAAGGCACACTTTCACCTTAGAAGAAATATCGAAACGTTTAAAAAGCAAAAAAATTGATAATTTATAGATACGAAGATGAATATATTGATGAATATAATTTTATCGAACATCAATAACTAACAGACAATATCCCACTACTCTTCAACAAGTGTATATATATATATATATATATATATATATATATATATATATATATATATATATATATATATATATATATATATATATATATGTGTGTGTGTGTGTAATATTTCATTTCTTTGATTATTATCGTTAAGACCATGTCAAGTTACTTATGAGTTAAAAGAGCGTAACTCCCCTTTTGTGTAACATTGATGATAAATAATATGAGAGATCAAAAGCACCTCACAATTTAATTTTTTTTCGTAACAATTTTAAAAAATTGCTTATCGTCTTTTATATAAATTAAATTTAATTATTAAATTTAATTTAATAATTTAATTATTAATTTGAATAAAATTAATTTTTTTGTAACAATTTAAAAAAATTGCTCATTGTTTTTTATATAAATTATAGATTTACTTGAATCCTAAATTTCTATTTCAATATTATTTATAATTATTATATGTCCTATTATTAGACCTACTTTGATCTACGTAGGTCAAAAACGAAAATATTTAAAAAATTATTTTAAAAAAGTACCTCAGGATATTGGGATCGTTTTTCTTCGTCCATATCCTTCCTTGTTCCCCAGAAATAAACTTTAGGAATGAACCTCAGGAATGAACTGAAAAAAAAGAAAATTATTAATATTAATTTTTTTGTAACAATTTAAAAAAATTGCTCATTGTTTTTTATATAAATTATAAATTATAGATTTACTTGAATCCTAAATTTCTATTTCAATATTATTTATAATTATTATATGTCCTATTATTGGAACTACTTTGACCTACTTAGGTCAAAAATAAAAATTTTTTAAAAAATTATTTTAAAAAAGTACCTCAGTATATTGGGATCGTTCTTCTTCGTCCATATCCTTCCTTGTTCCTCAGAAATGAACTTTAGGAATAAACCTCAGGAATGAACTGAAAAAAAAGAAAATTATTAATAAATTAAACTGTACAATTATTATATCTAAAACATGATAATGATAAATATTTAAAATATTCTGTAATTAAAATGTTTTTTCTATTTTTTGAGCAAAAAAATATCAATTATTTAGAATTTATAGAGTAGATATGTAAATTTAAATTAGAGTCGTAAATAAAATAAAAGTTAACACTTATTTTTCATATTTTCTTTTCTAACATTTTTTTTGTGCAAGCGAACTTTCAATATTTTCTAATAAAAATGAATAAGAAGAACTAAAGTTAAACTTTTGCAATTTAAAGAGAGGTCTATAGAAATATGATAAAGTGAATATAAAACGATTTGGCAAGAGAAGGAGAAACCTAGTAATTGATCAGGTGTGAGGAAAGCAAGTCAACCATCGTTTAACGAGGATCCTCATTCTATATATATATATATTTTCTTATCTCCTTCGATTGGTTCAAAGAAATGAATTATCATCTTGTTATTACATAACCAAGGGGTTTTCATCTTTAAATGATGCATATTTCTCAAAGAGATAAAAAAAACTGATTATTAATGATCTAATGCGTTTATTATGACTTCTACATAATATAAAGCGAGAATAAAATATACATCTTCTTTTATACCTCACTACATTAATTTAATAATTCAGAACAAAATTTCCCTAACTGAATTAATTTTAGAAAAATAGTAATAATTTCCTTTTTGTAGTGTTTCATATTTTACTATGAAAAAATTTCGAAGAAAATTTCGTCAAAGATGTAAAGAAAAAAAAAAATTTACTTTCACAACAGAATTAAGTAAATTATAATTTTTTTTATTACAGCAATGCTTCCGGTAAAAACGGATGTTCCCCAAGGTGTTTCCCGACTATGTCCCGGTGCAAGAAGATCATTTTTGTGTCGAATGAAACGAAAAGTGGAGGTCAATTCTCGTGATGATTCGCAAATTAAAGAGGAGACACACACAAATACCGGATGCCAAAGACGAAAAAAGCAACAAAATCTTGGTGAAAAATTTTTCTAATAATATTTACAAAGCATCTCTATTTCTTATTTCAAAAATCTTTTTTTCTTTTTATATAATTTTCATTTCCTATTTTTATATATCACAAAAGAGCAACAAATATTTTAATAAAAAATAATCTACAGCGAAAATAAATTATAGAGAAATTAATTATTAAATATTTTTTAATTTTTGCGAATATAAGAAATTAATTATAGCTATCAACTATTATTATTATTGAGGTCTATTTTATTTATATCGCGGCTATAAAGCATTATTGTGGAAAATTCTAGAAGGGACGTATAAGATTTGTTTGGGCGCGAATGTTGCGCATGCCTTCAGGATCTTGCAACATGGTTATAATAAAGTTTAAAAAATGCAGATCGTGAGAGGCGAAAGGTTTATATATACAACGTCCGGACAAATAGGTGCTCTTGCCCCTCCCCCGATTAATTTTTTTTAATCCTAATAATAAATCATTTAATTTTTATTTATTTTTTTTTTTTTGCAATCCTTATACACAATTTAAACGTATAAAATAGATCAAGTCTTTGTCAATTGCTTTCTTGTTAACATTATAATTATCAAATCAATTTTGAATTGAATGAATGAAAAAAAATTTAGTGGGTAAAACCAAAAAAAAAAAAAATACAATAATAAAAAATAATACGAAATTAAATTATTTATCATTGGAACGAGATTAGATTTTGGATATTGTATTTTTTTAATTTCTATCTCGAATTTTCTAACGAAGGGGCAAAGTGGTAGTAAGCTCTGTTCTTTGTTCGATATGCGTTATATAATTTCCAATCCAATTACAATTCTATGCTATTATCGAAACAATTCTCTAAATCTAAAACCATATATAATACCGATTTTCAATTTAAAAGATTTTTAATTATTAAACAAAATTTTAAAAAAAAATTATTATTTATTCAATTTGTTTAAAAACCAAATTATTTATTATTACTGTATAAATATAATATTATACAATAATAAATATAAAAGATGACAATAAATATATGTACAATATGTCGAAAGTATGTACGTATTTTAAGGGAGCAGTAAAATCAAGTATGCGAATGATTCGATCATCATGTTAACGACGCATATCATCTCTCATTGAAAAGTATAACAAAGCTATTGCGTAATCGCTCTACGCTTCGTATTCATCGTCAAATTCATCTTAAACTCATCTCTTCATTAGAACCAATTTCATTTTTTGAAAGGATTTTTATTATGTTCATATTATGTAATATTAAAATAACTAAAAATTAGAATTAAAAATTTAATCAAAAATTAATTTTTAAAAATATCCCTACAAAAAAAAGTGCGAATAAAATTTTTGATATTTCTAAATTTCGTATTCGAATAATACAGTTTACTTTATTCAAAACAAATTGACACACTGAAAAAAAAATTTATTTGGTTCAAATACCGGTGTATTTGGTTATTATCAAATAAATATTTACTTGAATCAAATATTTCTTATTTGAATCAAATAAATGGTATTTGCTTCAAATACTGAAATATTTGATTCAAATATTATATATTTGATTCAAATAAGAAATATTTGATTCAAGTAAATATTTATTTGATAATAACCAAATACACCGGTATTTGAATCAAATAAATTTTTTTTTCAGTGCATTTATTTGAAACAAATAAATTTATTTCGGGTACATTTAAGAAAAATCATTTAATATTATAGGATAATTAATTTAAATTAATTATACTTTAATTATAATTAAAATTAATTACACTTTAATTAAAATCAATCATATTTTAATTAGGTACAATTAATTAAATTAAATTAAAATTAAATTAAAATTAAATTAATTAAAAATAATTAAAAATAAATATAGTATAAAATTAATTTTAATTTAATTAATAAAATTTAAATAAACAATATTTGAAAAGACATTTCTGCTTGTTTATAATTTTTCAATTTTTTTTTTTCATTTTTAGATTGGAAGTACTGTGTGATTCAATGTACGGGATATTTAAAATCTTGGGCACCGACGAAAATTGGCTTTGAAGAACAGGAAGGCGAAGGTGATGGTGAAGCTTGCAATTTATCATGTTTGGTGGCAGTTGGTAGAATACAAACAGCATTATCAATACCAAGTTCAATGTCCAGTAGACCTAGGCTACGAACCATTGAATTTGTCTCACGTCATGCAATGGATGGAAAATTTATTTTTGTTGATCAGAGGTAAATATCAAAATTTCCAAATTTTAATTTTTAATTTTTTTTTTCTAATGTTATTATTTTATTTTTCAGAGTTACTTTAGTTTTAGGATATTTACCTCAGGAATTACTTGGAACGAGTATGTATGAATATTATCATCACGATGACATTCCGTTTCTTGCCGAATCTCACAAAACAGTTCTTCAATCACAAGAAAGAATATCCACACAGGTATGGATGTAAAATAATATTTTTAAAAAAATATTTAAAAAAAATAATTTTCAAAAAAATTCAATTTTGCAAATATAACGAAATTATTAATTAAAAATGAATAATTTAAATTATTTATAATTTCAGGTTTATAGGTTTAGAAGTAAAGAAGCCAGTTTCGTTAGGTTACAATCGGAATGGAAATCATTTAAAAATCCTTGGACCAAAGAAATTGAGTATATAATAGCAAAAAATTCAGCTGTTTAGTAAGCAAAATTGAATTTACTAACTTTATAAAAAAAAAATATTTTGAAATTATTCGTAAATTTTTTTTTTATTTTAGTTTCGACACTCGACAAGTTGAAAGCAGCGCGATAAAATCCGAAGGATCAAGTGTTCAGGGAAATTACGATTATTTTACACAAAGTAAGAAATTCCAAAAATTTCGAATTTAAAACTAATAAAGCAAATAATATTTTAACTTTTTTTTTTATCTTTTTTTTTTTTAGGTAATGGAGGTTTGGAAAGATTAATTTCTAGTCAAGTGGAGGTGCGAAAAATTGGCAGACAAATAGCAGAAGAGGTTTTGGATTTACAAAGAAGATGTGAAGATTCATCTTCAATTAGAAGTCCAGATTCAGGACCAGAACCTGTTTTATTCATCACCGAGGTAAATTGTTTTCAAAAATTTTTAAATAAAAATCTAAAATAAAAAATATATTTTAAAAAGAAAAATATATATTTTTCTTATAGCCACAGATTACAGCCACTGCATCGCCAGAAAGAAATCATGATCTATCTCAATCGGGAATTGGAAGTGACGGAAGTAATTCGACTTCAGCTTACAATCAGATTAGAAATAATGTTCAATTAAGCAGTGCTGCTAACGATCAAGGTTTTGAAAATAAACATTTCTAATCCTAATCCTGAATTTTTTTATAATTTTCGAATCTTTTAAATAAAAGTTGGTTTATTTTTTTTTTTTACAGGAGTTGCTCCACATGATGAAGTAATGGAAATTATTGGAAATAGTGCAATTGCCGAATCGCCAAATTCACTTCCAACAGATGGAAATGATGAAGCGGCGATGGCAGTTATAATGAGTCTTTTAGAAGCTGATGCTGGTTTAGGGGGACCTGTGGATTTTTCCGGTTTACCTTGGCCATTGCCATAGCCATAAGTTTTTTGAATGCTGTGATTTGTGTCAAAAAATTAAATTTTCATCCAACTTTAAATTTTTGTCTATTTAAGAAAAAAAAATAATAATTTTTCTAAATTATTAAATCCTAAACTTCCAATGACTGTTTCTATATTTAAACGATTATTCTGTGTAATTTTTATATCATATAACGAGGGGTCAATTATTACTCTCATATATTTTTAGTGAAATATTCTCATATATATTTCCATTAAAAAAAATTTCTAAATATTAAACTTATTTCTTTATCAGAATATTCTCAAATTCTAAAAGAATAAATAATAAATATCTAAATAATTTTTTTTTTAAGGAAATATAAATGAAAATATAATCATTATTATATAAAAATGATAATAAAAAAAAAAAAATTAAAAATATTTCCAATATGCAGAATTGTCGACTCCTCGAATAACAGACTGATCGAACAAAATTTGTCAGACTTGAAAAAAAAAACTTCTTATTTATTGAAATTTTTCTTTTCAATATTTCTGATCTCTTTTGTGCAGTAATAAAATAAATTTGTGACGTTTTTCCGTTAAATATTATTGGTGTAAGAATTGTCAATCGTACAATTTATTCGGCATTGCATAGTACAATAATTTAATTCTTAATACAGGCAGAGAAAGAAAAAAAGTAAACAAATTTCTTTTTATCCAATTTTAAATTTAGTTTAACTTACAAGAATTAATAAATTTAATTATCCATTTATTGTTTGTAAAAGCAAAAACAAATTTTAAAAAATTATTTTTGTAACAATAATGAAAAAAATGCAATTCAATTTTTAAAATTTATTATTTTATATTTATTGATTAGAGAAAAAAAAATTGTATTTTCTTACAATTTAATTTTCTATTAAATTAAATGAATTTATTTTCTTAAAATTTTTAATTATTATTTAATAATTAGCTAACTTGATAATGATAAAAAGTAATCTGTCTGTAAAAAGAATAGGGCTGTGGATGCACGAATGACTTTATGTAAATATTGCACAGTCGAATTGTATAAAAGCTATGTGTACCTAATAATTATAAGAAAAGCTGAGTAGAATTTTTATTGTAAAACTTAATTTAAATGTCGAAAGTAAATTTCAATGTGATATTAAAAAAATAAGAAATTGTTCCTATGATAAAATTCCAATTTTGTACTTTATCATTAAAACAAAAAAAAAAAAAAAGAAAATGACAAATTTCTATAAAATTTTTTAAGTTTTTAAAAAAGTGGAAAAATTAATTTATAGTAAAATAAACTTTATTATTAATAATAAAATTTGATAAGATATTTAAAACAAAATTTTTTCAAATTTAATCGTAATTATTAACTATAATTACTACTCAGCTAAATGAACATTTGAATGTTTAAACGTTATTGATGTAAATCTATAATTTGTGAACTTCAAGTATAAAACGTTGCTTTAATATCACTTTTGGCAACAATTTACACAATTTTACAAAGAAAAAAACAAAAAAAAAAAACAAAAATTGTGTGTTTCAGTGTAAATAGCTAGTATAATAAAAATTATTTGTTATAAACATCAAATATTGTTTTTCATTTCTAAGCCGAAATCATAATTTACTAATTACTAAAATTACTAATTTTTTAATTCTATTTTGTACTTATTTTTATTATTCACTTTTTCATTTTAATTCTAATTTTTGATCATTTTATTAATAGGTTTGAAAAAATCGATTAAATTCAAATTCAGAGTATATATGAAAACATTTTTTTTTTATTATACTGTTATAATAATACAATAGCTATTTATTTGTAATTATTTACAACGTATATGTTGAACTTTTTTTTTTGAATATTTACATAAAAATGAAAAAATTATTTTCTATTTAAAAAATATTTGATATTTCATTTTTTCAACATAAGACTTGACTTTTCTTTTTTTTTTCTAAAATTAAAGAAAGCCTTTTTTTTCTAATTTTTATCGAATATCTTGAATAAAATTAAATATTCCTATTTACAACAAAATTGTAAATAATTGAAATTAAAAATGTTTATCAATGATAAAATTTGTCATCAATCAGAATCATCTGGTGGTTGAATTTTACATTTTATAAGTTTAGTTGGTTCTTTTTTCACTTTAACAATCTCGTCACATGGTTCAGTCTTTATTTTTCTTATTACATTTTCTATTTCATCGGAATCGGGTTCAATTTTAATTTTTCTTTTCAATTTTTTCATCTTCTTTGGCGATTTATTTATTATTGATTCTTGATCATCAGCTTCGTTATCATTTTCCGTGTCCTGTGAATTTTTATTTAATTTCACATTTTTCTCTTCTTTTTCAATTTCAGAATTAGATGATTTATGTTTCTTTATTTTTGGTTTTTGATCAATAATTTCATTTTCCGTGTCTTGTGTGTTTTCATCAATCAAAGAATTTTCAATTGATTTCACATTTTCTTCTTTTTCAACATCAGTGTCAATTTTTTTACGATGTTTCTTTATTTTTGGTTTTCGATCTTCCAATTCGTTATGATTTTCAGTGTCTTGTGCGTTTTCATCAATGGAAGAATTTTTAACTTGTTTCACATTTTCTTCTTTTTTAATTTTTTGTCGATGCTTCTTTATTTTTGGTTTTCGATCTTCCAATTCGTTATGATTTTCAGTGTCTTGTGCGTTTTCATCAATGGAAGAATTAACTTGTTTCACATTTTCTTCTTTTTCAATTTTTTGTCGATGCTTCTTTATTTTTGGTTTTCGATCTTCCAATTCGTTATCATTTTCAGTATCCTGTGTGTTTTCATCAATCGAAGAATTATTAACTGGATTTTCATTTTCTTCTTTTCCAACATCAGTAACAATTTTTTTACGTTTCTTTATTTTTGGTTTTCGATCTTCCAATTCGTTATCATTTTCAATGTCCTGTGAATTTCCATTAGACGAGGAATTTTTATTTTTTTCACTTTTTAATTTTATTTTCTTTACTTTTGTCACCTCCTCATCTTCAGAATCACTTTCAAATGTAATTCGTTTTCTTTTACGTGCTGAAATTCCCGATGAATCGTCAACGAAATCTTCTTGAAAACTAATATTTTTTGAAGTTTCAGTCATTTCAATTCTCTCGTAATTTTCTGTTAAATCTTCATTAAAGAGTTTGCATCCCTCCAAATATTCACTGAAATTGAAAATAAACATTATTATTTATTAGTATAAAAAAAAAAATATATTCTACTTCTATGAAAAAAAACCCACTCTTCGTATAAAACACCTCGAATATAAGGTAATTTGCTACTAAAATCTACTTGATTTACAGTAAATTTAATTTCCTGTCTCATTTTCACATTATTGCCTGGCCAATCTTCTTCGTTCTCTGGTTGTGGAATAGAAGCAATAAATACTCTATGAACTAAAACTGCAATGTGATTAAATCCCACTTTATTAACGAATCCTGTAAAACAAATTTTTTTTATATAAATTCACAAATACTTTTCAAAATTAAATATTTTAATAATTTATTAATACAAAATTCTAATATATTTAAATTAAATTTAAATTTTATTAAATTTAATTTAAATAAATATACCCTTTAGTTTGGCATCTACTTTCGGTCGAAAAATATAAAAATCCGCTTCTACATCTATGTGAATGTACGAAGTATCATTAAGAATTCCTGCGACAGGAGTGAGAATTATTGGATTTTTATAAGCCAACAAAAGCCCATCTAATCTGAAAATAAAATTCATAAAAAAAAACATTCAAACAAATTTCCAGTATTTTTTATAGTAAAAATTAAAACATTTTCCCCACGAAGACGATATATAAACATAACCTCTAATATTCAGAATAATTAAATTAAACCTCCAAAAAAAAATTTAATATTTGCACAAATTAATATTTTTTACTTACTCGGCATCATATGCATTGAGTTTAGAATTTAAAATTTCTCTCAATGCTGAATCAATATTACGTATTTTACAAGAAGCCATCCCCAAATGTGTTCTGTGCCTTTCAAAATATACACACGATTCCTCATCTTCGAGAAGTCCTTTTAATTCCAAAATAGTCCAATAAATATCACTAGGTGCTTTGTGACCCATTTTCTTCATTTTATTTTATTCACAAAATTATGTTTTTATATCATGTTATAAAAACAACTATTTCAAAAACCAAACTCAACTGTTTTGATTCGCATACTCGTACATTTTTGAGGTTATGTGAGCACGTGTTGCGCGTATACGACGGAATGACGGATAAAAATTTCACCCACGCATTTCACGGTTTACTTCACGTTATTCGGTTTAAAATTTTAAGAGGCAATTATTATGAAAAAGCAAAGAATAAAAAAATTACGTTAATACGTAAAAAATAATAGAAAAATCAGAATTTGTCGGTACAAATTTGATTTTAATATCGAATATTACTTATTTGCATTGTTTTTAGTTAATATAAATTATATCAGGATATTAATATATGTTATGTAAAAAAATAAATTTTTCAATCAGTAAATGTTATTAAATTATTTATTAAATTATGAAAACACTCACCGATTGCAGCTTCCCAATTCCGGACACAATTGCAACGGTTTTGATATTTTTTTCCAAATTTTCTGCATATATATGGATTCTGAAAATATAAAAACAAATTTATCATCTAATCTTGAATTGTAAATTTTATAATACTTATAAATTACATTTTTTATTATAGAAAAAAGAAATAGGTGAATCTAGAATTGAGAAAAAAGTAGACGAAAGTAATGAGAAAATATTCCACACTCCCGATTTTAAGAACGAAATAAAACAAAAAAAAACATAATATTATCGCGATTTTAATTAACGTAATAAGAAAAAATTAAATATTACAAATAGAAATTTACATGAATAAAGCGAAATTAAAGTTTATTTTAACAAAAATACGACATTGGTGTCAAGAGTTAACCAACAAAAAGTTTGCAAAGAGCGACGCGCATATTTAACAATTTACTTATTATACCTTTTGAAATTTCACAACACTTTTCACTTAATTGACGAATATTTATCGGAATACACTATTAGCACACTCAATTATTAAATATTTTACTGTTTAATTAGGTATTTCCAAAAATATCTGATCAAAAACACAAAATTGTTGACATGCCGAATTCGCGGCAACAAGTGAACAAAGCCAATATGGCGTCATTTACCTTCCTCTACCCCCCAGTAAATAAGATTCTTAAATCATATTTTTTGGAAAATAAACTACAAATTTTGTATTTTTAATGATAGAATATCATTATTAGATAAAATTTAATCATTAAGAAACTTTTTATTCGAGATTTAATTGCTTCCAATCGTTATATTAATGAAAATGAAAAAAAAATTATACTTCTGCTCATGCGCAGAACGAAATTCACTTTTTCAAATTTATCGAAACAAACGATATTAATCGATATTCGACTACATTTACAACTTCAGTTTGTTAATTTAAATGATCTTACACACCTTTATATTTCTCAGTGTAATATCGAAAACAATGATCCTGATCCAAATCCATAACCAAATCCAAACCAATAAATGACTGGTACTAAATAATAAAATTTAATATAAAAAAGTACCTGAAAAATTTACAATAGCATATATAAATAAAAAAATTTATAATTTAAATTCAATTTAAACATTTTAATATTCTCTAAATTCTCAAATAATTAACATTTTGTGTAATTTTAATATTAATTTATACAAAAAGTGTAAAAAAAATAGATAAAATTAATTAAAATGTTAATTAATTTGAGTAGAGATAATAATATAAAATTTCACGTTTTAAAACAGTAAAAAAAATTTCATATATTATAAACTATAGTACTATAAATACATAATATATATTAATAGATTAAGAATATAATAAATTATACACTCCTGGAAAAATAAATTATTAATTCAATTAAAAAGAAATATTATTTCTCACCACGTTGATTCAACGGAAAATAATGATAAATTAAATAAAACATGCACAAAACACTTAGAAAACAAACACAAAACACTTAGAAAACATTTACAGAACATTAAAATATAATAGACAACATTGTGACAAAAGAAATAAAATATTGAAATAAAATAAATTTTCACTGGTACTCCAGTTACTTACATTTTTTACCCGATTTCCCTACCTATTGCTATATTTAAAACGAACATAAATGCCTATTTTTCCCGAATTTCCTACCTATATTTTTATATTCTAAACGAAACTAATACCGCCCAGGTGCAAATTACCTACACTAGGGTTAACGTCCCGGGACGTTACCGTCACCTGAGCGATCTTTTCTGAAAAGGAAAAATTTAATTAGTCCTTAATTAAAAAATTATCAAAAACTTTTAATTTTTCATTCAACATGCATTAAATTTTAATTTTTGAAAATTAAATATAAAATTAAAAAATTGTTAACAAAATTAATTAATTAAATTATTTAAAGTTAATAAAATTTTATAAATGTAATTTAAATTACTTTTTTTATAGAAAGAAAATTACTTTCTTTCAATTAAAAATATTACAAAATATAAAAAATATTAAATATACGGTAAATAAATAACATACATATAAACAATGAGAAAAAAAACATTGACAATAATATTAATTTCCGTAGTATTAAGGTAGTAATCTACAAAACATGTAATACTTTAGGATGTGGGGAGTGTTAGAAATTTTGAGGGGCTAATTTTCCGAAAATGTCACATGCTTTTTTTAGATTACTCCTAAAAATACTAGAAAAAAATATATTTTGTCAATGGTGTCACAATGTTGTCAGAATTCCTTCCGTTTTTTTTTTTTTTTTTTTTAATTTAATATTTTATTTGAATCAATTTAATAAATCTACTTTTTTTAGAGTCAAGAAAATTTAAATATTGAGAAATTAATAATAACTTAAAACATTAATTTTTAATTTATGAATCTACTTTTTTAATTTATAAAAAAATAAATGTTTTAAACAGGGAAGGTGTTACATAAAAAACCACTCATCAACCGGCGAATCCCACGTTGGAGCAATAACGTCATTGCCACTTCTCGAGCGCTTCTGGACCAGCTCCCGAGGATCCCTCTTTCTTGCTCGCACTTCTGCGTGAGGCCGGGAGCTCAAAAAAAAATATTATAAAAAAATAAGAAAAAATGAAAAAAAATTTTATAAAAAAAAATATATGCAGGGGCCACTTTTCTTCTTCCACATCCTTCCTTCCTTGTCTTTTCGGATAATTGGAAAATTGGAATGGACCTGAAAAAATAAAATTTATTAAATTAAATTATATAATTATTTTCTAAAAATACTATTAAATACTGAGTTGAACAAGATGAATGTTGATTGATAAAACTGTATTATGTATACATTAACAAAATCATTGAAGAGAAATTTTTAATCCAAAAATGTTACACACACGTAAAAAATTTTATAAAGAAAATTAATTTAAAATTGATTGAAAAAAAGACTCACCTGTATCGGGAGATTTCTGCGTAGTGTTAGAGAAACGATGACAGCAATACCTCTTTTTACAAGGACAAATCTTTCTTGTCCTTGATCAACTACCTAAAAAAAAAATAATGTTATATGTGTAAAATAAAGTATTAAAAAACTTTAATATTATCAATTATTTTTAAATATATTAATATTTATAAATATTAACATTTGATTTTCTATTATCAATTATAAATATTACAATAAATTTTTAACTGATTTTCTTATTGTATTTATTGATATTTCCGAAAACTATTGGAAAAAAGTCTCACCTATAAGGGAAAATTTCTGCGTTGTGTAAAATTTACGATGACAGCATATCCTCTTTTTAAATGGGCAAATCCTTCCTCTGCTGGACCAACTGTCTGAAAAAAATTAATATTTACAAATGTGAACATTTTTTATATTCTATCACCAATTATAAATATTAGAATAAATTTGAACTACTTCTTTTATTACAACTATTAATATTTTTTAATGGTACTGGAACTTGTTCATAATTTGCAATTTTTTTTCTACGGTAGTTATTGTTATTTCTAAATATTTAATTAAATTAAATTTTGTTAATAATATTTATTAATATTTTAAAATACAAAAATTAAGGGAAAAAATTTATAATCAACTTACATTGAACTGCGACTCAGCAATGCAAGATCTCCTCCAGGAGCAGCTCCGCAACAAACACCCATCCTTCATGATTGAACACCTATAAATTCAGAAAAAAAATAATTAAACCTTTCCTTATTTTCAGTTTTTTGAAAATTTTAATTAATTAACAATTGTGTTAGTAAAATAATAATTTTCTGAATAAAAAGATACTCACTTATTCGAAGATTTAGTAGAAGTTGTTATTTATGGATAACAATTTCATTAAATTCTTCTCCAAATCTGAATTCTGGAAAAACAAATAATAAACAAAAATTGTTAGAGAATAAAAAATGTTTAATATTTAAAAATTCCGTAAATTCTGTTTTAATAAACAATTATTCACCTGAGTTGAGAAGAATTGACGCCGAAAAGTTTAGCATTTTTAGCCTTTTTTCTATGATGACGTCTTTAACCCTGTAAATTAATAAAAAAAATAGTTAAATAAATATACGATGAGAATTTTAATATTTTTGAAATTTTGCTTTTAAATTTTATCTCTAAAATACGGCGGACAAGTACCCAAACAGATGGAGAATTGAAATATGAAATTGGGTATGTGGTAATTTTTAGGTTAAATTCTAAAGCGTCATCAAGATTGACTAAATATTGAAAATTCTGATATTTACCAACAAAAATTAGTTGAAATCTTGAAAATTTAGATCAAACTGAACTAAATTATTGAAAAACACTTTTAATTTCATTAAGATTATAAGATACTTTTTGTTATTCACAAAATATTTTGTCACTTTCAACCGCGCTTTCAACAATGTCCACTATAGTGAGCAATGATACCAACTTGAACTTAAAAAATTACCAACCAATCAAACTCTTACCAACATAATTACAAATTTTTTTAACTACTTGTTTTTAATTGTTATAACCTTCTTTTTTATTATTTTAAATTTTTTTAAACAATTATTCAAATATCTAATAATTATTATTATTAATAAATTTATTTTTTAATAAATTTTTTTATAATGCCAAATTTTTGAGGTTAGATTTTTTGTCCAAAATATTTTACCTGAATTTATTATTTTTCTTTATAGCTGCCACAAAACTTTCATAAATTTTCTATTATTCATATAAAACTGGACTAAAGTATCATAAAATATATATAATTAACGTTATGATGATAATAATAGCAAAAAGATTAAATTCCCTCGAACGAAAAACGTTTCTTCTACTTTCTGCTGGCGACGCCATTTGCAATCAACAGTAATGCCAACCCAAGATAACAAAAAACTAAACTTTTCATTTTTACCAATATATAAAAAAAAATTTTTTTGATGAAAGTTTATTTTTTCTTTATTTATTTGTTTTATTTTGCATTTTATATATTAGTTATTGATCAAATAAAATAATTACATTATTACAATTTGGATGATACATTTACCTATGCCCGTGAAGTTAGCACCACAACTTAATGAAAATCAATTTTTTTTTATTTTAAACGTTTGTTGGTCGTTTGATAGTGTTTGATAGTTGATATTTAACGTTTGATAGTAATAATTAGAAAAAATAAACATAAATCAAATTTTGGTGTGCTATTTTCACAGTGCACCCCAAATTAAAAAAAATACTAATTTTTCATTTGTAAACGTTTGTTGGTTGTTTGATAGAGATTGATAGTCAATTCTGAACGTTTGATAGTTGAAATAATAATAAATATAAACATTATCAAAAACATCTATCCATGTCGCATCCCTCCATATGCGCATGCGCAAAACATACTTTCGCGGCATTTTCAAAAAACAGAAACAAATTTTCATCTTCGATTTTAGAAACAAAATGTAATACTTCAAATTTTTATTCATATATCATACAATTAAATACTCTCCTTTCAAAAATTGAACAAATTGAATAATTGTCAAATTTTAATTCCAATCGTTTGTAGGCAGTTTAATATTGATTAATGGTAGACTAATATCGTTTGATAGTGATTGATAGTTCATTATTTTCGTTTGATAGAGATATAAAATTGACTAAAATCATTTGATAGTAATTGATAGTTGATTATTTTCCTTTGATAGTGATTTATAATTGATAATTATAGTTCAATAGAGATTTATAATTGACTAAAATCGTTTGATAGTGATTGATAGTTGATTCTTATTGTTTGATAGCGACTAAAATCGTTTGATAGTGATTGATAGTTGATTCTTATTGTTTGATAGCGACTAAAATCGTTTGATAGTGATTGATAGTTAATTATAATCGTTTGATAGTGAATAATAATTGGCTGAAATCGTTTGAGAGTTAATTATTATTGGCTAATATCTTTTGATAGTGATTTACAGTTGGCATAAATCGTTTGATAGTGAATAATAATTGGCTGAAATCGTTTGATAGTGATTGATAGTTGGCTAACATCGTTTGATAGTGATTGATAGTTGATTATTTTCCTTTGATAGTGATTTATAATTGATAATTATAGTTCAATAGAGATTTATAATTGACTAAAATCGTTTGATAGTGATTGATAGTTGATTCTTATTGTTTGATAGCGACTAAAATCGTTTGATAGTGATTGATAGTTAATTATAATCGTTTGATAGTGAATAATAATTGGCTGAAATCGTTTGATAGTTAATTATTATTGGCTAATATCTTTTGATAGTGATTTACAGTTGGCATAAATCGTTTGATAGTGAATAATAATTGGCTGAAATCGTTTGATAGTGATTGATAGTTGGCTAACATCGTTTGATAGTGATTGATAGTTGATTATTTTCCTTTGATAGTGATTTATAATTGACTAAAATCGTTTGATATCGATTGATAGTTGATTATTATCGTTTGATAGTGATCTATAATTGACTAAAATCGTTTGTTAGTGAATAATAATTGGCTGAAATCGTTTGATAGTTAATTATTATTGGCTAATATCGTTTGATAGTGATTTATAGTTAATTATTGTCGTTTAATAGTGACTTATAATTGACTAAAATCGTTTGATAGTGAATAATAATTGGCTGAAATCGTTTGATAGTGATTGATAGTTGGCTAACATCGTTTGATAGTGATTGATAGTTGATTATTTTCCTTTGATAGTGATTTATAATTGACTAAAATCGTTTGATATCGATTGATAGTTGATTATTATCGTTTGATAGTGATTTATAATTGACTAAAATCATTTGATAGTGAATAATAATTGGCTGAAATTGTTTGATAGTGATTGATAGTTGGCTAAAATCGTTTGATATCGATTGATAGTTGATTATTCTCGTTTGATAGTGATCTATAATTGACTAGAATCGTTTGTTAGTGAATAATAATTGGCTGAAATCGTTTGATAGTTAATTATTATTGGCTAATATCGTTTGATAGTGATTGATAGTTGATTATTATCGTTTGATAGTGATTTACAATTTACTAAAATCGTTTGATAGTGATTGATAGTTGATTATTATTGATTGATAATGATTTATAATTAATTATTATAGTTTGATAGTGATTTACAATTTACTTAAATCGTTTGATAGTGATTAATAGTTAATTATTTTCGTTTGAATATGATATACAATAGACTAGAATCGTTTGATAATGATTGATAGTTGATTTTTAACGCTTGATAGTGATGTATAATTGACTAGAATAGTTTGATAGTCTTTGATAGTTAAGATTCAAGGTTTGATAGAAATAATTAGTAAAAATATTTTACACACAAAAATTGTGTGTCATTTTCACAAAGCACCCCAATTTCAATAAATTATTGATTTTCCTTTTACAATCGTTTGTTAGACGATTGATAGCAATTGATAGTATATTTTAAACGTTTGATAGTCCAAATTAAATTAGATATTAAGGTACGCTCTCACCTTTTGCTTGCATGCACGCATGCAGAAGTTGTTAATTATAGATCACTATCAAACGATAATAATCAACTATCAATCGATATCAAAAGATTTTAGCCAACTATCAATCACTATCAAACGATTTCAGCCAATTATTATTCACTATCAAATGATTTTAGTCAATTATAAATCACTATCAAACGATTTCAGCCAATTATTATTCACTATCAAACGATTTTAGTCAATTATAAGTCACTATTAAACGACAATAATTAACTATAAATCACTATCAAACGATATTAGCCAATAATAATTAACTATCAAACGATTTCAGCCAATTATTATTCACTAACAAACGATTTTAGTCAATTATAGATCACTATCAAACGATAATAATCAACTATCAATCGATATCAAACGATTTTAGTCAATTATAAATCACTATCAAAGGAAAATAATCAACTATCAATCACTATGAAACGATGTTAGCCAACTATCAATCACTATCAAACGATTTCAGCCAATTATTATTCACTATCAAACGATTTTAGTCAATTATAAGTCACTATTAAACGACAATAATTAACTATAAATCACTATCAAACGATATTAGCCAATAATAATTAACTATCAAACGATTTCAGCCAATTATTATTCACTAACAAACGATTTTAGTCAATTATAGATCACTATCAAACGATAATAATCAACTATCAATCGATATCAAACGATTTTAGTCAATTATAAATCACTATCAAAGGAAAATAATCAACTATCAATCACTATCAAACGATGTTAGCCAACTATCAATCACTATCAAACGATTTCAGCCAATTATTATTCACTATCAAACGATTTATGCCAACTGTAAATCACTATCAAAAGATATTAGCCAATAATAATTAACTATCAAACGATTTCAGCCAATTATTATTCACTAACAAACGATTTTAGTCAATTATAGATCACTATCAAACGATAATAATCAACTATCAATCGATATCAAACGATTTTAGTCAATTATAAATCACTATCAAAGGAAAATAATCAACTATCAATCACTATGAAACGATGTTAGCCAACTATCAATCACTATCAAACGATTTCAGCCAATTATTATTCACTATCAAACGATTTTAGTCAATTATAAGTCACTATTAAACGACAATAATTAACTATAAATCACTATCAAACGATATTAGCCAATAATAATTAACTATCAAACGATTTCAGCCAATTATTATTCACTATCAAACGATTATAATTAACTATCAATCACTATCAAACGATTTTAGTCGCTATCAAACAATAAGAATCAACTATCAATCACTATCAAACGATTTTAGTCAATTATAAATCTCTATTGAACTATAATTATCAATTATAAATCACTATCAAAGGAAAATAATCAACTATCAATCACTATCAAACGATGTTAGCCAACTATCAATCACTATCAAACGATTTCAGCCAATTATTATTCACTATCAAACGATTTATGCCAACTGTAAATCACTATCAAAAGATATTAGCCAATAATAATTAACTCTCAAACGATTTCAGCCAATTATTATTCACTATCAAACGATTATAATTAACTATCAATCACTATCAAACGATTTTAGTCGCTATCAAACAATAAGAATCAACTATCAATCACTATCAAACGATTTTAGTCGCTATCAAACAATAAGAATCAACTATCAATCACTATCAAACGATTTTAGTCAATTATAAATCTCTATTGAACTATAATTATCAATTATAAATCACTATCAAAGGAAAATAATCAACTATCAATTACTATCAAATGATTTTAGTCAATTTTATATCTCTATCAAACGAAAATAATGAACTATCAATCACTATCAAACGATATTAGTCTACCATTAATCAATATTAAACTGCCTACAAACGATTGGAATTAAAATTTGACAATTATTCAATTTGTTCAATTTTTGAAAGGAGAGTATTTAATTGTATGATATATGAATAAAAATTTGAAGTATTACATTTTGTTTCTAAAATCGAAGATGAAAATTTGTTTCTGTTTTTTGAAAATGCCGCGAAAGTATGTTTTGCGCATGCGCATATGGAGGGATGCGACATGGATAGATGTTTTTGATAATGTTTATATTTATTATTATTTCAACTATCAAACGTTCAGAATTGACTATCAATCTCTATCAAACAACCAACAAACGTTTACAAATGAAAAATTAGTATTTTTTTTAATTTGGGGTGCACTGTGAAAATAGCACACCAAAATTTGATTTATGTTTATTTTTTCTAATTATTACTATCAAACGTTAAATATCAACTATCAAACACTATCAAACGACCAACAAACGTTTAAAATAAAAAAAAATTGATTTTCATTAAGTTGTGGTGCTAACTTCACGGGCATCATTTACCTGTATTTTTTTGTTTAACATGACGATGCTAAATTTTTTAGGTTAGATTTTCGTGTCAGAAAAATTTTATCGAAATATGCTAATTTTCTTTTTTCCTGCCATGAAACTTTTATAAATTTTGGATAATTTAAACAAATCTGAACTTAATTGCAATGAAATATGTATAATTAGCGCTTTGATTAAAAAAATACAATAAGATTAAGAGCTGCACGAAATATGGGTCTCCTACTCTCTGACGTCGCCATTTGCAATGAAGCGTACTGCCAACCCAAAATAGGAAAAACTAAACTTTTTCATTTCTACCAATATATAAAAAAAAATTTTTTTATGAAGTTTATTTTTTCTTTATTGATTAGTTTTTTTGCAATTAATATATTGCATATTAATAGAATAAAATAATTATATTATTAAAATTTGGATTATACATTTACCTGTATTTTTTTATTTAACATTACGATGCTAAACTTTCGAGGTTAGATTTTCGTGTCAGAAAAATTTTATCGAAATATGCTAATTTTCTTTTTTCCTGCCATGAAACTTTTATAAATTTTTAATAATTTAGATAAATCTGAACTTAATTACAATGAAATAAATATAATTAGCGCTTTGATTAAAAAAATACAATAAGATTATGCAGAGCTACACGAAATATGGACCCCTTAACCCCTGACGACGCCATTTGCAATCAACAGTAATGCCAACCCAAGATAACAAAAAATTAAACTTTTCATTTCTACCAACATGAAAATAATTTCCTTTTGATTGTTTTATAAAAGTATAATTGAATTTTTTTATTTAACCATTATTATTATTGTCTTTTTAGTTTTTAATAAAATTTATTTAAAAATTAAATTATTTTATTCCTTAATTAAATATTTTGTAAGAGCCAATGAGAAAATCTATTTGACGCGTGCGCAATTGCGTTCAAAACATATGATTTACGTTTTGCAAATACTTGGTTTTTTAAATTGTTTTATGTGATATTTGTGTGCCTTTTTTTATTTTGAATTTATTCATGGAGAAATACAAAAAAACATGAGTGAAAATAATTCGAAAAACATTATAAATAATGAAGGAAAATGTGAAGATAAAACTAATTATAATAAAGTCATTACAAACTATGACAGAGATGACTATTCAGGTGATAAATCTCCAGAATTATTTTCGGGTAAGTTTTATTTATTAATTATTAAAATTTTTAATTATTTGTTCTTTGATAGTTATTTTGATAAAGGTGTATCAGAATTTTTATTGAAACCGAAAATATTATAAACTGGTTCGGTTTTTAATACACCATAACCTACAAATTTTTGAAACCTTTTGTTTACATTTTTCAATGTCTATTTTTGTTTATAAATATTTATTTATAATATTTATATTTATAAATTAATTAATAATAATTTTCAGATTATGAAGAAACTAATATAATAAATGAATGTTCACCACAACGATCAATGGACGATTGTTCTTTTCTTAATTCTTTCAAAACTCCTGTGTTACATTCGGATGTTGAAGAAAAGTAGGTTAATTATTTGGCTGATAATAATTTATAGTTATTTTATTGGTAATTAAATTTGATTGAAGGATTTTTTTTTTTTATTATCTGTGTATTTTTTATCAATAATTTATTTTTGTCATTAATGCATAACATTTTTTATTAATTAATTATATTTGATAGTGTATCTAACTTACCTGTGATTCCGAAAACACCTGCCAGTCTTGCACCTTTCATTTACAAAAATAACGAGCCATGGACAAGCGAATTAGAAACTCCAGATGCAAAATTAGTTGCAAAATTACAAACTTCATCAAAGAGTGGAGATAAATGTTGGAAAAATGTAAGATTTTGGTTCAACAAAATTAAATTTATTTTATTATTATTCTGTGAATATTTTTAAAATTTATTTATTTTAATTTAAATTTAAATTTTAGGTTGACGGAACTTCGAAACGTTCACAAACTCCAATTTTAGAGAAAATCCAAACAGAAAACAATGAATCTGTTTCTCCTATTTTGAGTAGTAATAAAAAAATGAAACCTAAACGTCAAATTTTTAAATCAAAAGTATTTGAAAATTTCGAGATTACACCGAGTTTTGAGAATATACTTAAAACTGAAGAATCGACATTAAACGTTGATGTAGTAAAAAAATCCGAATCATTAATTCAAGACAATGTTTCTAATGATTCCAACGTTATTTCTACAATTAATAAAAATTCTAGTCCCAAGTGTATTGATAATAAAACGAAAAAGTTACCTACAACTGAAGCCACCACATCAACAACAAAATCATTATTAGAGAAATTCAAAGAAGTGAAGAGTATTCGAGGAAAAGAAGAAAATTTTGAAATTGCCGAAATTAATATTTCTGACAATGTAATGTTAAAAAATGTTATTCAACTTGAACGTGCTTCGAGAGACTTTTCTAATTCTACAAAGAAAAATATATCATCAATAAATGAAATAGGACTTGTGCCATTTTCGCAATATTTCAAAGATGAAAATGAAAAATCCTTCAATAAGAAAATTAATGATATTTCTGAAATAAAAGAGAATACAATGGAAAAAGATACTTTAAAAGAAATTTCTACAACTAAATCACCAATTTTGAAATGTGAAAAACAAAATTCTACAGAAACACCACAGAAAAAAAAACCAAAAGAATCATCATTTAACGAAGAGGATATTGATTATTCAGGTTTGAATTTTAGTCAATGGTTGTATAAAAGTGACGATTCAGATGAAAACATAAAAGATGAGGAGAAAATCAATGAAATTGAAAATAAAAAATCCAAAAATTTAACAGAAATTAAAACAAACGTAGAAATTAAACAAAAATTTGAGGAAACAGAATTAGAGGACAAAATGTTATTTCAAGAAATGGATAGTTTTGATTTTGAACAAAATTTCAAAGACGAATTAACACCAAAAGATTTGATAAAACAATCAAATTTAGATATTACTAAATCGTGTGGATTTTCCACAGCTAGTGGAAGGAGTATAAAAATCAACAAGGATAAATTAAAACAAGCTGAGAAAATGTATCAAGAAATTGAAATAAACCAAAATTTAAAATTAAAAACAAATGAAAGTGAATTTTCAGAAATAGCTTCATCTAGTAAAGAAAATGATCTCTCTTTAAATTTAAAAACAAATTTTACACCTGGTTTTGCAACAGCACGCGGTAATAAAATTGTCATATCTCAAGAAAAACTATCAAAGGCACAAAAAATATACAATGAAATTGAATTAAATTTATCTGATAAAGAAACAATTTCATCGAGTAAAGAAAATCATGTAACTGATTTGAATGTAAATTATAATTCTGGTTTTGCAACAGCCGGCGGTAAAAAAATAACCATAAGCAATGAAAAACTTTCAAATGCACAAAAAATGTACAGTGAAATTGAATTAAATTCTGCCGATAAAGAAGCAATTGATAAAGAGAATCAAGTTAAATTTTCGTCAAATCAATCTTTATTTAATAATAATAAAACACCTTTAATTAATACAAATATTCAAACAAAAACTGAATATTCAAATGATATAAAGCGTAAAATAATAGATGGAAATACAAATCACTCGAAACGATTTAAACCCCTAGCTATTCCGAGAGATTCTCCTATTTTTAATAGGCAAAAAAATATATCAAAAATTGAAAATAACGCCATTCAAAAGGAAGAATTTGTTAAAAATCAGAAATTTGAAAATTTCAATAAATCTGATGATTTAATAATAAAAGACGAGAATTCCAAATTAATACCAAGAAAAACTTTCAGTTTACCAATAAATTCTGAAAATAAAAACAATTTCAATATGAATGAACGATTATCATTACCGACTTCATTTAAAAATAAAATTTCAGAACCATTAAATCCAGAATCTCCACCATTTCACGGATTTAGTATGCAAAGATTTTCGTCAGCTGTTACAAAATTAAATTCCTCACCATTTTACGGATTTAGTTTATCCGATATGTCAAATTCCAATGTTTTATGTATGAAATTTCAAATTCTTGTCGAAAAACTAAAAAATAATTTAGAAAATGAAGAAAATATTATCTCAACTAGTGAAATTTCAAATATAAAAATAATAAAAGAAAAAGAAAAAATATCCACTGGATTTTCAACAGCTGGTGGTAAAAAAATAAAAATAGACTCTAATTTTAATGCTAATTTATTATTTAACGAAATAAATCAAGAATTCATGAAAATTGTCAACAATGAATCAATAATTGATAATGATTTTTCAAAAATAATAAATATTGATCGAAAAAATACAAATAAAAATAATGAGAATTTAATGAAAAAAGTTGTTAATTTAAATTTTAAACAAGAATTGGAAAATTCAAATAATAGTCAAATTAATAAAGAAGTTTATAATCGAAAACAACAGTGGAGTAATATTTTAAAACGTAGTATTGATGATGTGGACGATAATACACCATTGGGACGAAATGATAATTCAAAAAAACCAAAATTAAATTACGATTTTCATGGAAAAAAACTCTTCACCGAAGGTTCAATAAGTGATGATGAAATGGATTCACTACTGAATCAACCTGGATCAAGTTCATCTAAACGTGAAAAAAAAATTGACGATCATAATAATCCGTCAATATTAACTGCCGATCTTATCAACGATAGTATTGTTTCGGAGGAACTTTTTAAACCCTTCACAAAAGAAATTACAAATTATTCAGAATTAAATAATGATAAAGAAAAAATGGAAATTGAAGAAAAGAATGATTTTCCCGATGAAGTACCACGAAGTCCTGTTTTAGGAAAATCAAAAGTCAAAAGAAGACGAAGATCAAAAATGATTCAACCAATAATTAATGATAGTGAAAATTTAAAAATGGAAAAATTCAACTCTATTAATTCTGATTGTTCTTTGAGATTGCAAACTTTGGATACTGAATCTTTAATTTGTAATTCTGAAATTTTGGAAAAACGTATTGCAGCTACTCTCGAACTAGTGAGTTATTTTACTAATTTAATTTTTATATGAAATTATTTATTTAATTTTAATTTAATTTATTTAAAATAAATTTCAGGATAAAATTATATCTATAAAAAGAAAAGAAAAACCGAAACCAATGAGGGGGAATTTTTTGACTAATAGAGAAGAATATAAAAAATCGAGAATTTCTTTGTATAAATTAGCAAATGGCTCTGCTCCAAAATTAAGAAGTGAACAAGAGGTAGGTTTTAAAATTAATTTTTGTTGTTAATTTTCTATTTTATTTAAAACTCTATTGAGTTGAAATTAATTTTCATTTAATTTAATATTGCAGCTAAAAGAAAGAGGAATAAATCCCGATGTTTTGAATGTCACAGCTTCCACAGCTGAATTCTATAAATTTCGGATTGACATTATTAATGAGTATGTATTATTATTTTATTTTTATGATATTCTTTTTTATTATCGAGGAATAATTAAAAAAAAATCGCTATTAGGTCTGCACGAAGAAATCTTGTTAGTTTAAAAATTGGAGATGGTGCAACTTTAGTTCCCAATGAAAATGGTTTTGCCGGAGTCGAAGAATTTGAAACAAGTTTCGAAGCGAGTCCTGGAGTTGATCCCAGTCTTCTTCCACGAGGATGGTTGCGAAATCATTATCGATGGATCGTTTGGAAATTAGCTTCGATGGATAGAATTAAACTCGGTTCTTTAGACATTCCAAGGTGAATAATAATAATGTTATATTATTTTATTTATCATTTATATTATAAATTGAAGAATCTAATTTTATTTAAATTTTAAATTAAATGTAATTAAAACTTATTTTTTAAATAATGCAAAATTATTAATTATTTTCGAAATAATTTTTTGGTTTAAATAAAATATAAAAGCAAATTTATATTTCTAGAATGTTAACGCCAGATAGAGTGATGAAGGATTTAAAATACAGATATGATCGGGAAATTGATAGATCTCAACGACCTGCAATTCGAAAAATATTGGAAAAAGATGATGTGTCATCAAAAAGAATGATACTTTGCATTTCAACAATATCCGAGGTAAAATTATCAATTTTCTATTATTTGTTTCATTTTTTTAAAATTTTGTTAATTATTAATTAATTAAATTATTCTCAGTAATTATTTATTATTAATTTAAAATATTTTCAGAGTATGGACAATGAAAAAGATGAGAAGGATCCAAGAATTTTATTAAGAACACCAAGATGGAAAATTGAAGTCACAGACGGATGGTACAGTATACCTGTATCATTCGATACAGCAATGATGAAAAATATAATTGACGGAAAAATACAAGAGGGAACAAAAATTATAACATATGGAGCAGAATTAAACAATTGTAATCAAGGCTGTTATCCATTGGAGGTGAGAAAAAAATCTAAATTCTTTTTTTCTTTTTATACAAAGGTAATAAAATTGAAAATTTGACCTTTAAATAATTATTTAATTAAATTTTACTACAATAATGATTCTAATTTTTTTGTTCAGAAACCAGGAAATATATATTTAACAATTCACACAAACTCTACTCGACGAGCAAGATGGGATGCAAAATTAGGTTTCCAAAGGATATCAGGTCCAATTAGTTCAAATTTAAAAGTAATTGATCCTAATGGAGGATTCATTGGTCAAATAAATGTTATCGTTTCTCGAATATATCCTATAATGTATCGAGAAAAAACTGCAGATGGACAAACAAGTAAGTTTCCTTATTCGCATTGTCATAATTAAATTATTATTATTAATTTTATTACTATATATTTATTTATTTGAGCAAAAAGATTTACTGTTTATTCATTTACAGTTTATCGTAATGAGAAACAAGAAGAAAAAGCAGCGATGGCTTATAATCACGAGCGCGAAAAAAAAGCGGAAAAACTTTATGCTGAAGCACAAAAAAAATTGGAAGGAGCTAAAAACGATTCATCTGAAGAAGATAGTGCTGGATTTTTGACTAATTTCGATTCTTTTGTAAGTTGAAATTCTTAATTAATTATATTTTGCATTAACATAAAAGTAATTCTATTCTAAAAATATTCTAATAGTTTTTTTTGTGGAGGGGGTTGTATTTTTTATAAATTTTTAAGAAAAAATTCTCTTTTCTTTTTTTGTTTTAGCACAATTTAAGTGAGGCTCAACGGAATAAATTGTTGTACAATCGACAAGTTAAAGTGGAAAAATTAAAAATTCAAATCGATGAAGAAGTAAAGGCTAGTCATCCACCGAGAAATGTTATTCCAGTACGAAAAATTCGTATTGTAGATGGAGAAATTTGTGCTATTTTAACGATTTGGTCTACAAGTGACGATGTTAATATTTTTAAGGAGGGAAATTGTTATTCTATATTTAATGTTAACGCTTATGGAAGAAGGTATAAATTTAAAAACATTGATTACTTTGTTTTTACTTTTGTTTATTTTCTATTTTTTCTTTTTCTCTTTCAGGGATGGAGAGCTACATTTAACAGCAAGTAGGCAGGCAATTTTCAAATCTATGCCGAATTTAAATAAAAATTATCCTTGTCGACAATTTACATCATTGCAAGAGATTTCTGTGCCTGGTTTTGAACCACCTTATAGTGAATTAGACACCGTTGGAGTAGTTTCATGGATTGGAAATACTCCCCATGTGAATATTTATTTTAATTTCTTATTCATTTCAAATTTTTGAATATAAATATTAGATATTCTGAGATTTTTAATATTTATTAATTGCTTTTTAATAATTTAATTTTAGGGGATGAAAAATTTCGACGCCATATGTATTGCTTATCCAAACGAAGATTCTTCCTCGACTTATTTATTAATAATGTTTTGGCAAGGAATTTCCTCGTATGGCTTTTCAAGTATTCTTACCGTTGGCTCCTTAATTGGCTGTAGTAATTTGGAAATTCGAAAAACACGAAGTGCATCAAACATTTCTTTATGTTACTGTTCTGAGAGGACAGTGTTTACGAGGAATCCCCGACAGGCGCATTTGTTAAGCGCTTTTGAATTTTTAAACAAAGAAATAAAGGTGTCTTTTTATATTTCTATTCAATTTTACACGTTATTTCTTTTTTATTATTAAAATAATTTGTTTTTTTATTTTATTATTTAATAATTGTTTTTTTCTTATCTTTCAGGATATAAAAGCATATGCAACAACTTGTGGCGAGGAAATATCAACATTAATTCAGAAGAAACCAATTTCACGAATTTCGGGTCAAGGGATTATGAATTCAGCTGATCGAAATTCTGCAAATAGTCCACATTTTATGGTGGCAAAAACTCCCATTGACGTTGATACACCAGCAAAATCGTCTGTTAATCAAAAACGTTTGGAAAGATTGGCAAGATATGGACAACCACCAGAATTATCGCCAATGGTATTTAAAAACTCGAGTAGTGTCAGATCGAGTTTTCGACCACTCTTTGGAACGCCAAATTCGACAAAATTAACAAAACCTCGTCCTGATACAACGTGATTTCTAATAAGTATTGAAATATTTTCATTGTTTGCCTGTTTATTCATATTTAATTAATTCTTTAAATATGGAGTAGTTTATTGTTTAAAGGGAAAATATTATTTAAAAGAAAGATAAATTTCAAATTATATTAGTTATGAAATTCAATTTCTATTGATAATATAAACCTGAAAAAAATTTCATGTTTGATTAATGCACTTTATTTTTGGATTATTGTTTGAGAGAGAAAAATATTATTTAAAAGAAAGATAATTTATTCAAATTGAATACAATCTGTTAAAATAATGAAATTAAGTTTGCTGAAAAAAAAATTCATAGTGCTTTTCATTGTAATTATGCTAAGCTAATAAATTGTTCAATCTTTGTATTTTAATTTTCAAAAAATCGACAATAATGGAGGAAAAAAAAATGTGTTGATTAAAGTAGTTTGGTTATATACATAATATTAACTCTTTATTACTGTTAAATATGCATTATATAAATATCTTGTAAAATAATTTATTTTCGTTTTATAAAATAAATTCTAAAATTATCAACAATTTCTTGTTACATATATTTTTCCTGAATGAGAAGAATGAAAATAAAAATTTTATTTATTAATTAAATAAATTAAAAATTAAATTTATAAAAAATAAATAATAAAATAAAAAGAAAAGTTTTTAGAATGACTAAGAAATGTAAACAATTTTACAGTTTAATTTTATCATAGCGCTCTCATTTTTAAAATGTAAATTCTAGAGATTAATTTTATCTTCGCATAAAAGTTGCATGAGATACTTATAATTCTCTTATCAAAAGAATTTTTTTTCGTTAAATTAACGTCTCGTTAAGATATTTTCGACGCATCGAGATTATATTATATGTAATTAGTGATGAAGAACAAATACTGACTCATATCCTTTATAAAATTCGAAATTATCTAATTTTTTCTACCAAAAATTGCCATTTTTTTAATTTTCTTTTTTTAGATAACAAAAATGAAATTAAACTAAATTAATTTAACAATTTAATAAATAAATAATTGTAAATAAAAATAAATAATAAAATAAAATTAATTACTGGATAAAATAATTAATAAAGGAAATTAGTCAGTAATAAAAATATTTACAGAAATTATTATATTTAAATAATATTAAGAAAATTTTATTTTGGACAATAATTATCTATTTAAGAAATTTATAATAAGAATAATGAACAATATAATTTTATCTCGACACACCTGGACATTTTTCGTTCTTATGTCACTTAAAACTTCAAACTAAAATTGCATTTTTCAAACAATAAAACATTTTGAAGAAACGGTATGGCTTCATAAAATAAGAAAAGGCAAAAAGAACCTTTTAATCTCATCTAAAGAAAGGCTTCATAAATGACAGGTAAACGTCTGGTGCGACTAAGTCGTAGAAAATCCCCAAATTATAAATTTCTATGGAAATATCCTACTTATGTATACTGAGTCGCCAATGGAACAAAATAGACTCCCTGGTAAGAAATGGCTCTCTATTTCAGGTAGAAAATTCATATTCAATAATATGATTGTACTTTACAAAATTTTTCGCACTTTCAAGTTAATCCCTACTGCCCCTTATAATAAATATATATAGTCGAGAATATTATTGTATCTACAAAAAAAAAAATAACAAATTTTCGTTTGAAAAAATAATAAATAACTAATTAAACAATTAATAAAAATTTTCCCGAAACATTAATAACAATAAGTAAAATTAATATTAATGACAACAAAAATAACAATTATAATAATTAATAATAATAATAATAATTAATAGTAATAATAATTAATTAAATTATTAATTTCGTATTCAAATGCATTTTTACATTAATTTAAATTTAAAAATTATTCGCGCCACAAGTGGGACAATCACGTGAGTGGCGCATGCGCAGTGGGTGAAAAATCAACTTCGCGCCAACGGTCAGCAGAAAATGTCAGTTGCAAACGCACCGGTTTGAGGTGAGCATGGATTTTTCAAACTAAGTTTTCTTCTCCTTTGTTATTTCAAGTGGTTTTATTTCAAGTGTTAAACATAATTGTTTTTATCAAATATCATGACAGAAATTGTAAAGTGAAACAAGTGATATGTCGAAAAATAATCAGTGATTGTGTATTTGGTATATACCAGTGAAAAGTTTTAATGAAAAAAAATATGATAGTTTTTGTTTATATAAACCAATAATTCTTATTCGATATAAGGTTTTTTTTTCTTTTTTTTATATTCTTTTTAAAAGTGTACACAAGATAAATGATTGAAAGTTAAATTTTTTGCATCGATAAACGGAAGAAAAAATGAGCGATAATCCAAAATTGGAATTTGCACTAGGCAGCGAAGTTTCAATGGGACATTTTTTCAAAAGTTCCTTTGCAAGATCATTTATATCAAATTGTCGTGATTCAAAATCACTTGATTATGAATTTTTGGATAATGGAACAATCACCGAGGAACCTGAAAGTTTGAATAAAGGAAAAAATAGTAATTTTTATTCACTGATGAATTTTGGCACTGGTAATGATGATGAAGAAGGAAATGACAGTGAACAAAGTCGATCTATTTGGAAAATTGGAGAGGTATGTGAATTTGTTTTTTTTATAACAAAAAGAAGAATAATAAATTTAGAACCGAAATTTTAAAGTGCATCGTAAAATTTTGAATTGAGGTTAGAATTGTCAAGTACCTGCTAGGTAAATCTTTTGAGGGATAGAGAATTGTCCCTTAAATTATATAGGTTTGCGTAAAGGATAGATCGGCAAATTTTCAACAGCTGCATAAATTGAATTCAAAGCAATTAGCTCAATAGCGTTATTCACAGTGAAATGCTGCCAAGTATATTATAAAATAGTTCGAAATTCTTTATTTCTTCCTGGAATCCTTTTGCTTTTATGGTTTTCGATCTTTTTCTTGATAATTTACTTCTATTCGCGATATAAGAATTTAAAATAATAGTTTAACATAAATAATTTAAATTTGCTGAACTATTAGACCCCCAACTATTTTCTTAATGTTTTGCTAAGATTTACATTAAATTTGTTTGTTTTTATTAAGTGCATGCTGTTTTATTATAGCCTTGAGATATGTATATACATTTACGGGTTATATCTATGAGTAGTAGTAGCTTTATAATGTAAATTATTCTTTGTTAACCACCGTTATATTCCTGTTTTTATGGTGGTCATAAAAAATATGACAATATTCACTAACTATGATGAACTTCTCAACTTTTTAATAACTATGATATTGTTTATTGTATATTTTCTTCATCCCAACAAATTATATTCTTCTGGTATTTGCCGACACAGGCCATTAATTACGCTCGTTTGACAAAGTGAAATGTACATTTCCGTTTGTTAACAATTTGAACATTACGTGGTATTATTTATGTCACATATATATTTTGTTGGAGAAATCACGTGCTAATGAATTCTCAGATTAATTTATTAGATAATTCTTTTTTTTTTTAGTTTTCTTGTAATATTTTTTTTTTTCTGTAAATAATTTTTGATTTAGTAATATATAATATTATAAAATAAAATTCCAAGTATCGGTGCATAATAAATTTTTTTTTTCTTTTAGACATCAACGAAAACAATGGAAACGGTCGAGTTGGAGAAGCTTCGAAAGGTAAGACGTTTTCTTAATATATATATGTATGTATAAAGGGATTATACTAAAAATTTGTGGCTTGTCAACACTTCTATAAATCATTTTGATTTCAAAGAGAGATTTTCAACTGAAAAAAAAGGGGCGAAATGAATTTTTCGATTCCAAAAATAATTCAATTTATAAATTCTAATTTTAAATATCGATGACCTATTTTATTTTTTTTTTTTTGAAGAAAACTATTTCACGAGCGTGAAAATTTATTTTTTTCTTTAAAATTCGAATTTTTTTTAAATCTTCTGTTAATTTTATTGAGATTTAAAAAATGCAATTTTTTCTAAAAAGAAAAGCTTTAATATCGCAATGGCATTTTTTTTTATAAAAAATTTATTATATATCGAGAATTTATTTGTAGGATGCTGTAAATTATGGTAAATTCTTAAGGCCTCACTTGAAGAATTCTAGCAAATTCCTGGTACTCTGTTCGGAAAGTGCGCACACGTAAACGACTAATAATTCTCTCGTCAAAGCTGCTAACTTAACAAAATAGTCCAATTTGTTCTTTATTTTTAAAACCCCGCGCACATCACATTTATATATATATATACAATTCTTTGGGATATTGCTGTCGGAAAATGAATCTTTTGCTTCAGTGTTAGTATGGCTATTATCGGTCATTGTCCTCAAAAAGATATTTTTGGTTCAAGATATTCGCGAAAATCCTATTTCTCCATTTGCTCATTAACTAAGTAAGGAATTTTTTTTTTTTCATTTAATAATAATAATTATTATTATAAATTATTAAAATTAATAATAATTATTATTATAAATTATTAAAATTAATAATTATTATTATTATAAATTATTAAAAATAATAATAATTATTTATATTCTTTAAAAAAAAATTCCTTAGGGTTATAAATAAAATTATTTTTGATCTAATCTAGGTATAATCCTTTGGGAAATATTGTTTTAACTTTTTCGCTTATTATATATTATCCTCATTTAATATTTTATTATTTTATTATATACAGTTAGTAATTATTTTAGGTTTGCTTTTTTCTTCTTCTTTGTGAGAGAAATAAAATTGTCGCACTGTATTTGCTTAACGAGGAAATTGTTAAAAGCTCTCTCGAGCATGAATTTTTGTTTCTTGCAAATATATATTATATTTTGTGGAACAAAAGAGAATTCTGTGCCAGAAGTCTTGTGTATATCTGGTAATTGTTTATTTTAGAGGCAACTGACCACAATTCCCGTCTCTCTCTCTTTCTCTCTCTTTCTCTCTGTTTGAAATTTTAGTGTTTGTAGTAAAATATCTTTGTCGTACTCTCTTCTTGACAAGCATTCGTAATTCAGGCATGTCACTCTCTTTTCTCCTCTCCTTGGGGAAAATATCTTGATCGCATCAGGTATTCTATATACCTTTAGAAGTCCTCTTATCTATATACCATAAGACTTAGAGGAGAAATATCGCAAAGAATCTCTTTAAGACTTGAAATCTAGAATCAAGGAAACTAGAATTGTAATCTGATTAAGAGTTGACGTTGCGTCCTTTTTTTTATTTTTTTTTACACAGAGAGAGAGATTGTCCTTAAGTAATTAGTAAAACCCCTCCTTTAATTTCTAACAACTTTTCTTTTTGAAGATTGTAAACAAAGATTATTATGGTGACAAAGAATTATGTATTATGATCTTGTTTTACTTAGGGTATTGTATAGAAGAAGAGGAAAAAAAAAGATGACTGTATGGAAAGTATCGAGGTGATGTTTGAGAATTAGAAATCGTCTTCTTCCCTCACACAACTTCCTTTTGCTCTCTTTGTTGATTTCTTGAATTGCTTCTGGAATATATATATATATTTACACAATACGTTTTTGGAATAAAAGATTTTCGGATGTTGCAACACCTGGATAGGTCAAGAGAGAGATAGTTTTATAGGAACAAAGAATTTTATAAAATTCAAAAAATAAATTCTTTGTTGGATATAATTTATTTTAGAGTTTTTTCGATTTTTATTAAGCGATTTTAATTATTTAAAACCAGATTTTAAAAAACAAATTAAAAAATTAATTTCTTTTTTTAAAAATTAATTTAAAAAATTAAACTATAAAAATAATTACAATTTTTTTTTGTTAAATTAAAATTTCTACGTAATCAACTGGAGAATTTCGTAAAATTAGAATTTTTTTCTTTTGTGAAAAAAGTCAAGTTTGAAAATTCATTTTGTTTTTTTTGGAGATAATAATTTTTTTTTCTGTGCCTGTTTTCTTGCGCTGAGTAATTTTTTTTAATGAAATTAAATTTTCAAAGTTTTTTTTTTCACTTTGGGAAAATAAATTTATGTTCACGTGACGGGTATATATATATATATATATATATATATATTTGAGAACTGTATAGTTCATTTTGTCGGGCGGAAATCCGCTTCGGACCCTTCTGGTAATTATTATCAAACACGTCTCTACCTGTGGGCCTATACTTTCTACCTTTTTGCAAAAAAGGTTTTTTTTTTTTTACTATCTTTCAAAAACTCATAACATTGTAAAGCAATAAAAGAATAAATAACGATGGATAAAAAAAATTTATAAAAAAAAATTACTCACACAGTAAATAAAAATTTTTAAACAGATTTACAAAAATTCAATATCATGATTTACTATTAAATCGCCTTTGGTTTGTAACATTTTTTTTTAAATTTTCTACTGCCCTTTATGATAAGAAAAAAAATTATTAGTTTTATTTAGATTAGAGTTTTTTAATTTTTTTTTAATTTAAAAATTTATTAGAAACTTTATAGCGTCAGCTGCTTATAATTTTATGCGCACTGAAACCTAATATAATTTTGAAATGCATTACCTTTGACAATAAGCTAAAAAGACAGCTTTTGATCCCAGATTTATCTTGAAAAGTCAATTCAAATTAAAGTCATATAAGAAGGAGGTGTCTTCCAAGTTCTATAAGGATTCTATGTCATTTTCGATTAATTTTCCTCTTCAGATATAGAATTTAAATAAAAAATTTTTCAATTTTTAATTTTTATATCTTAATAATGTTGTTATATATTTTTATTTATATTCAAATTAGGTATTTAATTTATTAATTAATAGTAATAATAAATGGGATTTTTAATAACATTATTTTTATTATCAATAATTAAATAATAAGTTTTTTTAAAAAAAATACATAATTTTCGAATAATTCAAATAAAAACGCATTTCCGTCTCTTGTTATTAAGCAAACCTATAACAAAACAAGACACGTATTTTAACTTTTGAAAAAAAAAATTGTGTACCTCTATATATACCGTTAGAAGCAAATTGTCAAAGAAAAGTGTTTCAAAATTAGTGAATTTCAGTGTCAAAACCCTCTAATTGCATTGAAGTCACTTGGTATGGACACGGTTAGTGATTTTCTTATCCTAAATACAACGGTTGTTACAATTTTTCATTTTACGATACAGATATATATTTTTTCTTTTTTACCCCTTATTGTGAATTGTTTTTGTACACCAGGAAGAGCGACCCTTATCGATTTGCCTCGAAAACCTTTTGCCGTTTATAATTAGTTTCTTCAGTAACTACCGAGCGCGCTAAATGTTGCACTGTGTACCTCCAAAGAGAAAGAGAGAAAGATCAGGAATTCCGATGGTAAGGAATTTTCCCAGAAGGCGCGTTCTAAGAAAGATATCTGTTGAGATTTGCAAATTATACATATATGCGTGATGCACTTATTAATCAAGATATTTCCCCCTTTTTTTTTTTTGAATAAATTTTCATTAGCACTCTCTCAAGTTTTTCCAAAAGATCGGAAGATTGAATAAAATTAAATTAAACTTTGAACTCACTTCATAAATATTTTATATTGTGAGCAGCATTGGAAAAAGAAAGTACTAAAGTGGAAGCGATTTTAGGTATCAAAATAGAACCAAATGACAATTTAGTACCTAAAGTCTGTATTAAATTAAAACCAGCGTTTTGGTTATTACTAGAATTCTACACTGAGAAAAATATGCTATTGAATCAACACCATTTCTGCCAAAGGCATAAAAATTATTGATTCAAAATCATATGCTACAGAATCTATATAATATTTTACAAATTTTGTAGCATATGCTTCAGAATCAATAATTTTTATGCCTTTAGAAGAAATGCTGTTGATTCAATAGCATATTTTTCTCAGTGTAGATAATTTACCAAAAATTTTAGTTAGGATGTAATATAAAAATACCATAACCAGAATCATCAATTCCATTCTGTTTTCTTCATCCAAAAATTAGCGAATTAGGTCAGGATAGATTACCAGATGCTGATTTTAAACAAAATTTTATTCCGAAAGGGCAGATTTTATTATAGAAAAGAAATGCGTTTCTAAATATTAGAAAAATTTATGAGTTTAACTTTTGACAAAAGACTAATACGTTTAGTATACTCTTAAAGATGTTGTGACTATCAGATTATTACAAAATTTTAGTGAACGATTGCGGTCTTTTTCACACAAACTAAAACGATCTAATCCTGAATGGATATTGAGATGAGGAGATAATATTCCCTACGGGATTATCCTATGCCTCTTTTAAATACCAATGGGAGGTCTCTCTTTTTCTCTCTCTCACTCTCTTTGGATCCCCAGTGTGTTCTATGTTCTATGCGGATGCATTTCATGATAAGTGCTCAGGTGGCTTGCTTCGGACGAGTTTGTATCGTAATGTTCCAGGTTGGCTCGCAGCATCCGCACCGTTCAAAACCCGAACAGGATCGATAACGTTTCTGCAACATGCACTTTGTATTAAAAAAGAAATATAAAAGAGCATCGAACTCACGGCCTCGAGACTCGATTATAAAAAATACAAATCTCCCATTAATAGAAACATTATCGAGGCTATATGCCTTTCAATTTCCATATCAACATTTTATAATAATAATAATAATAATAATGGATGATGCATTTAAATTTATAGATCGCGAAGTCTATGAATAATTCCTAATCCTCTTTGGTATCATATTCTTTTGCAATTTGTG